TGTGACTCATGCAGCTGCAATGGCTGCTTTGGGTACGCGGTCCAGACCTCCCCAGAGACCCTGGCTGACAGAGGAGGTGTTCAGGCTGGCTGAGAAAAAGCGACAGGCCCACTGTCATCGGCTACAGAATCCCACGTCAGAGAATGAGGAGGCTTACCGCAGCCTTCGCTCGGAGGTTCGGAGAGCCGTGAGGCGCTGCAAGGATGGGTGGTGGTCGCGGGTTGCTGAGGAGATGGAGTCTGCCTCAGTGGCCCACGATCACAAATCTCTATTTAACTTCATCAAAAAAATAACCTGCAGCGCCACACCTATTACCATCATTAGGGGAAAAAACGGTGATCCAATCTCCGACCCCCACGAACAGGTTTGCAGATTTGCTGAGCATTTCTGTGAGGTCCTGGGCGAGGGAAAATCCCTCAGCCAGGAAAACATCGTGGCACAAAGTGAGGATGACCCTGCTGAGGCTGCGGTGCCTCAAATATTGGAAGAAGTCACCGCCTGTGAGTGGCTGGCTGAAGTGCCATCTGTTGAGGAAGTACTGAAGACGATCCGGAGTCTGAGACCAGGAAAGGCAGCGGGCAGAGATGATCTCCCAAGCGAAATGCTGAGGGAGGGTGGCGTTTGTGCACAGACTGCCCTATATGACATCATAACAACAGTCTGGACCACTGGACGGGTTTCGCAGGATTGGAAGTATGCCCTGGTGGTGCCCCTCTTTAAGAAGGGGGACCGCACAGACTGTAACAACTACAGGGGCATCTCACTCCTCAGTGTGCCGGGAAAGGTCCTGGCAAGGATTATTCAACATCGCCTTGCCAGGCACGCTGAGGAGAGGCTTGCGGAGCCCCAATGCGGTTTCAGGAATGGGCGGTCCTGCACAGATGCCATATTTTCTGTCCGTCTGCTACAGCAGAGGTGTAGGGAATTCCAGCAAGACCTACATCTCTGCTTTATTGACCTGGTCAAGGCCTATGATACCATCAGTAGGCCTGGGCTCTGGGTTGTTCTTCGTGCTTTTGGAGTACCTGACCCTCTGCTCACGATCATTAAGGACCTTCATGATGGTGAGCAGGCCCGGGCAAAACTACGTGGCCAGGAGTCCGAGCCATTCCCTGTGCACCTTGGGGTGCGACAGGGATGTCCTCTGGCTCCCACATTATTTAACATATTTTGACCACGTAGTTCGTGAAGCCTTCAATAACTGTACCGGGGGAATCTCCATATGGTACAGATATAATGGTAGGCTGATCGATGCCCAGGTGCGGTCAAGGGATGGCTCCCTATTTTCAACCACGTTATGTATGCCGATGATTTGGTAATAGCTGCTCATTCAGAGGAGGAGTTGGAGACGCTGCTGCTGAGACTGGAGCGTGCCACTAAGAGATGGGGCCTTACCATCAGCCCCACCAAAACTAAGCACCTGCCTGGGTATTTTGTACCATTGGACACTCCACCCCCACAACTCCCAATCGGTGATGGGGCAGTTGTGGAGAGAGTGGAGAGTTTCCCATACCTGGGCAGTGTGCTTATGACCGCTCCAGTTTAACAGCAGAATCAGTCGAGCGGCAATATCTTTTCATCAGTTGCGTAACGCTGTGTGGAAGCTACCTGGTCTGTCGCTCCGCACTAAGCTTCAGGTCTTCTCGGCCACGGTCATTCCCTCCCTTCTCTACGCTTGCGAAACGTGGACCCCCCTAATGGAACATCTTCGCCGGTTAGAAACATTTAGGCTGGCCTGCCTACGATCCATCCTGGGTTTAACCAGACTGGATTGTGAGGAACTCACAAATCCTTGAAAGATCTGGGCAAGGTCCCATCGGTGAGCTCCTCCGGCGGGCAAGGCTGCGATGGCTGGGTCATGTAGCCCGCATGCCCAGCCACCGCATGCCGAAACAGCTTTTGTTCGGCCGGATCGAGGGGGCTAAACGGGCGCGGCACGGGCTAGAGAAGAGATGGAGTGATGTGGTACAGGAGGACGTGGAGCTGAGTGGATTTGCTGATGACTGGTACCAGCGGTGTCAAGATCGGCCTCTGTGGAGGAGGCTCGTGAAGGACGCTACTGGGCAGTTGGAGGCAGTCGCCCTCCAACAACAACGGAGGGCGGAGGAGCGATGCTCACAACAACGAGCGGAGCGCCGGGTGGCTAGGGCACAGCAGGTTGGCACAGTAGGGGGCACAGGTGGTGCATCAGCCAGTCATCTCAGTCATCTCAGTCAGTCGACCCGTGGCACCTGGGTCTGCCCCGTGACCTCCTGCCAGCGGGCGTTCGACACTTCACGTGGCCTCAAGGTGCACATGGGGTGACGTCACCGCCACTTAGTGGCGAATGGCGGTTGTTGGTGGGGAGCGGTGTTGCAGCGGTTAGCGCTACGCCGCGCTACGAACCTTGGCTAACCGAGTTCGTATCCTTCTCACGGCCAACGCCAGTGCCGATTTTCTGCACCGGTCCTGGACCTCCCCCTACGTCGACTCAGCCTAAAATGAGTACCTGGTGCGGTGTGGAGTAAACATCGCCACTGGGGAGACAAAGGCGGCCCAGACGTGGTGCTGGCCACCCACCCCCTCATGTGCCGTGCCGGCATTCATAGGTGCTCGCTAACAGCACTTGCCCCTAGTCTGGGAAGGCTACACAGGGAATCTTTGTCTTTGTGCACAAGATCGGCCTCTGTGGAGGAGGCTTGTGAAGGACGCTATTAGGCAGTGCCAGGCTAGGTGCACAGTGAGGCGACTGGGAAGTTGGGATGCAGTCTGCCAGTCATCTAAGTGGGTCCAACCCATGGCACGCGCTGGCTCTGTCCCGTGACCTCCTGCACCTAGCCTGGCACAGCAGCAGTCCACCCCATGGTACTACCTGGGTCTGTCCCGTGACCTCCTGCACCTAGCCTGGCACAGCTGCAGTCGACCTCCCATGGCACCCGCTGGCTCTGTCCCGTGACCTCCTGCACCTAGCCTGGCACAGCAGCAGTCCACCCCATGGTACTACCTGGGTCTGTCCCGTGACCTCCTGCACCTAGCCTGGCACAGCTGCAGTCGACCTCCCATGGCACCCGCTGGCTCTGTCCCGTGACCTCCTGCACCTAGCCTGGCACAGCTGCAGTCGACCTCCCATGGCACCCGCTGGCTCTGTCCCGTGACCTCCTGCACCTAGCCTGGCACAGCAGCAGTCAACCCATGGCACCTGCTGGCTCTGTCCCGTGACCTCCTGCCGGCAGCGAGCCTTCGACTCTTCTTCACGCGACGACGGCCTTGGCGGAGTGCACCGAGCCTGGCACAAAGTGGCGCGGTGACGTGACTCCCACTTTAAACCGAACTATTTTTAGACTTCTCCACAAAATCTGTCTGTCGCCTGATGAAGCCGGTTGTAATTAATGGCGAAACGTCGTACTCAGATTGTAAATGTTGTGGCTTGGCTCTCCAACACACAACCGGTGTTGCTCTACACTATACACTACACTACATTACTATACACTACTATACACTACACTACTATACACTACACTATACACTACACCACTATACACTACACTACTATACACTACACTACTATACACTTCACTATACACTACACTACTATACACTACTATACACTACACTACACACTAGTGCTGTATTAGTAACGAATTGGCCACGTTCTATTTACGTGACAACCCTTACTAGTTGGCTGTCTCGGGTGGTGGAGGGTTTTAACGACACAACATTGCTCTATTGACGCGATCTAGCCCTAATAAAAACCCCTCTATGTATTTTTTCGTTTTTCATTGCAGCAGGTAAGACCCACCGAGCGATTTCGCAACTTCTGTTTTCAGATATTCGCTTTCGATTCTTCGGATATAATTCGATTCGTTTCGTCTCTTTGTACCGCACGCCGCAAAAATGACAAGAAATTGCGAGCGACATCGCTCAGCTTCGAGGTGCGCACGCTTTCCTGAAGACGACGACGAAGACGTCGATGACGAAGACGTCGATGACGACGATGACGACGAAGACGACGATGATGACGAAGACGACGGGAGGACGCGCGAACCGGCGCGAGGCGCGCAAATATGATGCGGTTAAATATTTCAAGAAATATTTAATACAAATTGAGCGTGCGGATTCTTCGCTTCTTCCTCCGCCTCGATATCAAACGCGGGGGGCGCGGGGCGAGGGGGGCGTGAATCACCGCTCCGCCGGTCTCTTGTAACGAAGTCCTGGACGATATGAAAGGGAGTTGGAGGATGATGATGATGGGTTTAATGAGCGTTCAGTGTTCGAGAATAGCAGCGGCAGTGGCAGCAGCTCGCTAACGACTCCCCCCAGGCACCTGCCGCCGCCACTACGGAGCCGTTCTCGGTAATCGACTCAAACTTCCGTGAGCCACCAAACTCCGTGCGGCGCAGAGGGCCACAGGGGAAGAACGGCGGGGGAGGGAGGGAGGGGGGGGGCCGCTGGGAATTTTTGTTCCGCTGAAAACTCCGCAAAAATCCTCCTCCTGCCGCAGCCGCTGTCGTCGTTCCCCTTAGATCCCTCAGTTGAGTGGCACCGGTAGATCAGTCACCGTTAGATCCGTCACCGTTAGATCCATCACCGTTAGATCCGTCACCGTTAGATCCGTCACCGTTAGATCCGTCACCTTCACCGTAAGATCCATCAGCTAAGTGGCACCGTCACCGTTAGATCCGCCACCGTTAGATCCGTCAGCTGAGTGGCACCATCCCATGAGATCCGTCACCGTTAGATCCGTCAGCTGAGTGGCACCAGCACCGTTAGATCCGCCACCGTTAGATCCGTCAGCCGAGTGGCACCATCCCATTAGATCCGCCACCGTTAGATCCGTCAGCTGAGTGGCACCGGCACCGTTAGATCCGCCACCGTTAGATCCGTCAGCTGAGTGGCACCGTCCCATTAGATCTGTCACCGATAGATCCGTTAGCTGAGTGGCACCACCCCATTAGATCTGTCACCGTAAGATCCGTCAGCTGAGTGGCACCATCCCATGAGATCCGTCACCGTTAGATCCGTCAGCTGAGTGGCACCGTCACCGTTAGATCCGTCAGCTGAGTGGCACCGTCACCGTTAGATCCGTCATCTAAGTGGCAGCATCAGCGTTAGATCCGTCACCGTAAGATCTGTCAGCTGAGTGGCACCATCCCATTAGATCCGTCACCGTTAGATCCGTCAGCTGAGTGGCACCGTCACCGTTAAATCCGTCCGTTAGATTCGTCACCATTAGATCCATCACCGTAAAATCCGTCAACGTTAGATCTGCCCCCGTTAGATCCGTCCCCGTTAGATCCATCACCATTAGATCCGTCCCCGTACACTTGAAAAACAATCATCTAGATTGACAAACTAATTTCTCTAGAACTGCTCGTTTGTTGTTGTTGCGCTTAGTTTGTTGTCCTTCCCCCGCACCTCCGATTAGCACGGTTGGCTACGTACGGTGCGAAAGAAGTTCAACGTACATACAAGAAGGTACCCTCGCCACCCAGCGGCAGCTGTCCCTGCGTGGCACAAGGCGTCTCGGCACCTGGCCTGCACACACGTAGGGGGTATTCGCTCTGACAGCAGTACGGAGGGGCGGTGAGTGGGTGATGATTGCAGCTGGGGTTGAGTAACGCCCCGAGTAACGTCTAACCTTTGGCAGACCTGGGTGGATTGGACAATCGGCGAGACGTTATCGCCCTCTGCCTGGCACACAGCAGGACATGGGTTCGATCCAGACCACGACGCCTGCCGTATATTTGGAATCAGAATGTTTATTCGTGCTGGTGGAATCCGATTACCTGTAAAGCTCTTTTTCACAGATGTTCAGTAGTGGAGTTTGCGTGCCTCTCTCCCCGTGGTCACTGCGTGGATTTTTCTCAAGTTCCTCCGTTTCCCCCCCCCCCGCACCCCCTCCACATTGAGAATCAACGTCGCCACGTGTTCAAGAGTACATCGCTGCTGCTGTATATTTCCACACGACGACGAAGACGTCAATAAGCCACCCACTTCACGGAACTATTATTTGTGAAAGGCAGGTGCTTCTGAAAAAAGTGCTACCCTATATAGCAGCTCAATTGTCGGTCCTTACCTGGTAAAATTTATAGAAATGTGCTTATAGAAATGTGAGTGTGTGTTCTAAGTAAATTGTGGGGAGTGGTGGTGTAGCGCTTAGCGCACTGCGCTACGAACCCGGCGACCCGAGTTTGAATGCCGCTCGCGACCAACAACAGTGGCGAATATTGTAACAAGTCCTGGGCCTCCCCTAGGTCGACTCGGCCTCAAATGAGTACCTGGGACGGCGTGTAGCAAACATCGCCACTGGGGAGACGAGGGAGGCTGGGCGTGCATGGTGCTGGCCACCCCATCGTGTACCACAGTGACGGCCTTCATAGCTGCTGCTGCTACTCGCTAACAGCACTTGCCCCGACAGCCTTTTAGAGGCTACACGGGGGATCTTAGTCTTTGTAAATGTCAGCAGTGGTCATTCAGTCACGCCTCTCGGAGGCGTGCAGGGCCCGGGCTTTAAATTCTGGTGCCGACGGAGTCTTACCGAGCGGTGCGTCGCGCCCCCAACCCCCCCTTCGCCACGCGCAAATATTTAGCGGTGGATCTCCGGCGTTCGCTCGTCGCTGGAAGGGGGGGGGGGGGTGGTCGAGGGAACAGACTTGCCGCTGCCGATCATCGTAATCACGGGCACTCCTCTACTTACGAGCGAGTTGCGTTCCAGGAGGTGTCTGTTCGCAAGTCGATTTGTTCGCAAAGGACCTTACTTTACTGCCGTCGGCTCCAAACGTGTTGCACGGCGTGTACACTAAACACGGGGAATGGCTTTAAAAGTTCTAGTCTCCTGCAGATGTAGACGCCACTGACTCTTCTTACTACCGCCCTCAACACTTTCACCACTCGTACGCTTCCGAGTCACGATGGGGCTTGACGATGGTCGTGAACAGCAGAGAGGGAGAGAGCGTCGTAGTGAACCGCAAAGCGACGACACGACAGCACACGATGGCGGTGGCCCAGGCAGAAATGCTGGGAATGCTGGGTAATAAAAACGACCACCACCGCCATCTATTGCACGGGCGGTTGAACTTAAGACGACTCTCGGTCCCGAACAGCTGCAACTGAGCGTACGGACCGAGATTTGTTCTTATCTCTGAAAGTCGGAGTAGAGGAGTTCCTGTGATTACAAAGAAAAGTCTGTAAGATGTAAAACGAACGAAAAACAACCAGCCCCCATTTTTCCTTTTACGCACACAAATATATATTGTTTGTTTTCATCATCCCGCAACTTTGCACAGCTTTTCAGAATTTTAGTATTCGCTTGCGACGAGAATTCTCCCGTCTTGTGACGTCATCGTCGTCGTCGTCGTCGCCGTCATCGTCGTTGCCGTCGTTATCGTCATCATCATGGTCATCATCGTCATCATGGTCATCATCATCGTCATGGTCATCATCGTCGTCATGGTCATCATCGTCGTCATCGTCACCATCGTCATTACCATCGTCATCATCATGGCCATCATCGTCATCATGGTCATCGTCATGGTCGTCATCATCGTCGCCGTCATCGTCGTCGTCATCATCGTCGTCATCGTCGTCGTCATCATCATGGTCATCATGGTCATTGTCGTCACCGTTGCCATCGTCATCTCGGCCGCGGCCCCTCTTGGCTCGCTCCTCTTCTTTGGAGATTCCCGCGCAGCATTGTCGCGGCTTTTCCGCCCCCCCCCCCCCACCCCGGTGAATTACAAAAATATCTCGAGCTCTCCGTCTCTCTCTATGTCCGCGTGTCCGTCTCGGCGTCTCTCTTCTCCGTAGATTTCGTAGTAAAGTAGTAATAAAAAAAACGAACGCCAAAAAAATAAACCCGCGAGACACGTCCGTCGGGATTACCACAACAGCCACCACCATCGCGATCGCACGCAACTCCATTAATTAATTCACCCACTCTATCGATTCATTCACGGATTCATTCACGGATTCATTCACGGATTCATTCACGGATTCATTCACGGATTCATTCACTCGCACGACAACCTCGCGGCGCTACCCCCCCCCCCCCCCCCCCCCCCGCCGAGCAGAAAGTTACGCCGATTGTCCGACCGGCACGCTTGATGTGAGGTATGATCCATTATCAACCACAGTAAATCTTCCGTTTTTCTAAAAAGTTAAGGAAAACAAAGTTGCAAAAAGATGTCCAGAGGCTGTCCCGCGGTTCTGTCTTGCAGTTTGCCCACGGGGGGTGCCAGCCTTGCGCCCCCCCCCCCTCCCCCCCCCAGCCAACCTTCGAACGCGACAGGCGCCCACGCCGGGAGACGTTGAGGGCCGAGCGTTCAATCGACGGCGGTGGGCGGAGATTTCCCGCTGGATTCCGAGTTCTCGCATGGCGACGTTGGTGCAAACCATTTTTTCTTTAAAAAAGAAAAATTCTGTACGTTTCGTTTTTTTCCCGTCTTCACCCCTCTCCTCCCCCCCTCCGCCCCCTTTCCTCCTCCCTCGCCCGCGGCGCGACTTCCGGACAAAATCTTTGAACCAACGGAGGAGCAAAAGAATATATATAGGGAAATCGAATCTCACACATATGGGTTCCTGGGGCACACCACATAGAGTGGCGGAGAAGGGCTTCAAGTATTTTCTCGAGATTTATTTTCCTCCGCGGAATTTTTCGTTTTCCCCATTTCCCGTGCCCATCGTTCCTCGCCACCGCTTCCCGTCGGTTTCGCTTGCCGTCGACGGCAAGGCCCTCGACGGCAAGGCCCTCGCGCTCTCACGTAACCCGCGACGACGGCGGCCGTAGCCGCCACGGCGGCGGCGGCGGCCGTAGCCGCCACGGTGGCGGAGGTCGTAGCCGCGACGGCGGCGCTGATCGTAACCGCGACGACGGCGGTCGTAGACACGGCGACACGGAAGCTGCCCCCCCCCTCCCTCGCTCCCCCCCAGCCTCCCCCATCCTCTCTCGCTCCGAGGGGATCAAGTCGTCGTCGTGGAGACAGACTCTGACGGAGCGGCGGACGTCGGCAAAGTCGTCGAACTTGTCGACGCCGTTGACGATGTCACGGTCCGCGCCGGCGCCGTCCCATCATCATCACCCCCCTCCCGCCGCGCTTCCGTCGCCAAACCCGATGACGCTTCCCCGTCGGCGGGCTTCACCGCGGGCATCTCAACGTCGCCGGGCGAGCGAGCGGCCGTCTCGTCGTCCGCCCCCTCCTCCATCTCCTCTGCCTCCTCCTCTGCCTCCTCCTCATCGCCCTCCTCCATCACCTCCTCCTCCTCCTCCCCCCGCTCCGCCGTCACCGCACCCGCCTCCACCTTGACGTCACCCGTCGAGGCGACGCCCGAAGGTTCGTCCGCGCGCTCGACGGCGGCGGCGGTCGCGGCTGTGGCGGCCGTGGGCAATGCGGCCGAGGCGTCGCGGCCGCGCGCTGCCGTGCCGGGAGCTACGGTGCCGGTAGCTACGGTGCCGGTCCTGTGGTTCGCGGCGACGCCGTTGGTGTAGGCGGTGGTCGTGGTGGCGACGGCGCGGGGCGGTGGTGACGGCGGCGTCTCCTCGTCCGGTCCGGCGTGCGCGTCGGTGCCGTTGTGTGGCGCTGCGGGTGCTGGGCCTGAGACGCACGCACGTGCACACCCACACACGCACGCACGCACGTGCACACCCACACACGCACACGCACGCACACGCACGCACACGGACCAGGGCGGCGACGTCGGTGAGCGGTGAGTGCGCGGGAGTGCCGAGTGTGAACCGGCCTCACCGCCGGGTTTTTTTTTTTGTCGTCATTTTTGTTGCATCGTTAAATATTTCCATTCGCATTCACGATTATTATTCGTATTATGAGTAGTAGTATTATTATTAAATATACAACCGCCAAGGTTTGGGGGCAACCCGCTTGGCGAGCGTGGGCCAGTTATTCGCGAGCGTGAGACGGCTGCTTTGTGCTCGAATCTCCACTCACGTCGAGATCGATTTCGGGTTACCGCGACCCACCCCCCACAAACCCCTCCTGTCGTGTCTGCGTGTCGTGTTTGTGTGTCGTGTCTGTGTGTCATGTGTGTCATGTTTGTGTGTGGTGTTTGTGTGTCGTGTGTGTCATGTGTGGTATTTGTGTGTGTCGTGTCTGTGTGTTGTCTGTTTCGTGTTGATTGCGTGTCGTGTGTGTCATGTGTGGTGTTTGTGTGTGTCGTGTCTGTGTGTCGTGTCTGTGTGTCGTGTCTGTGTGTCGTGTCTGTGTGTCGTGTCTGTGTCGTGTTGTTTGCGTGTCGTGTGTGTTATGTGTGGTGTTTGTGTCGTGTCTGTGTCGTGTTGTTTGCGTGTCGTGTGTGTCCTTGTAATGGTCTTACCCCCAGTGCCTTCAACTGGACATCTGTGAAAAAAAGAGCTTCGAAGCTCATCGGATTCCTCCTACAGTACAAATACAATATTCCGATTCCGATCCCACGCTCGTCATGCTGACCCCTTGACCTGCCGCCCCCACCCCATCCCCCTCTGACCTACGCACTCCCACGTCTGATTATTATACTCCTCACTCGTTTACGACAGCAAAAAAAAAACAACCAACAACAAGCAATCAACAGGCAACCAACAACAAACAACCAACAAGAGACACCAAGCAACCAACACCAAACAGGGAACCAACAAACAAACAAACGACAACAAAAATAAATAAATAAAACGCTTGCCGAGGGCTCGCGGCGGCGACGGCGGCGGCGACGTCGACAACGGCGGCAGTGGCGGCAGTGGCGGCAGTGGCGGCAGTGGCGGCGTTGGGGGCGGCGCCAGGCGTGCGTGCACCCGCGGCGGCCCCTCGGCGTCCGGAGGGGCGGCCGGACCCCGCGGTGGCGACGGCTGCCTCTCGGCCTTGATGACGAGCGAGGGGAAGGCGTAGGGCCCCGACAGCGCGTCCGTGCGCAGCGTGAGCGTGAGCGGCCCCGGCGACGGCAGGCACGTGGCGCCCTCGCACTCGTCCAGCAGCCGGTCCATGTAGTCCCTGGCAACGGGGGGGAGGGGCAAAGGGAGGGGGAGGCGGGGGGGGGGGGGTGGCGGCCCAGATTAACCCAGAAGTGACCTGGCTGGCGCTAGTGATAGCTCAACCAAGTGGCTCATCGTGTGGAAATGTACAGCAGTACGTTGATTCTAAATGTGGAGGGTAAAAACCACGCGACCACCACGGGGAGAGAGAGACGTCAGCGATCGTCAGCGATCGGAATCGAACCCACGACCTCCTGTACACCAAGTGAGGGAGCGTGAGCGAGCCGGAGAGTGAGTGTTTGAGCGGGTCTGTGGGCGAGTGAGTGAGCCGGCGAGTGAGCTGGTGGGCGAGCGAGTTAGTGGGCCGGCCAACCGGTTGGGCGAGCATGCCGGTGGGCGAGTGAGTGAGAGCGGGTCGGGAGGTGAGCGAGTGGGAAGGTGGTCGAGCGGCCGAGCGGGCGGGTGGACGTGGGGCTCCTCACGTGACGCCGGGGTGCAGGCTGTACTTCTTTTTGCTCAGCCGGTGCTGCCTGGCGAAGAAGTCGTGGCGCTCCGACTTCTTCCACATGTAGTAGAAGGCCACGCACTCGCCCACGGTCCGCGAGCGAACCTGCACCCCGGGGGCACGGGGGTTCACGGCACGGGGGTGGGGAGGGGGGGTTTTCAGAGGAGGGGGTTCAAAGGGAGAGGGGTGGGGTTCAGAGGAGGGCGGAGGGGTTCAGGTTCAGAAGAGGCTGCGTCCTGGGCTCTCCAGCCCCATGTAATTGACAGGGGGGGGCTGTGTTGTTGTTGTTGTTGGTCGTCTGGGTGTGCTCGGGGGCTCTTGCTGCTGTTGCGTGCTCCCCGTGCCAGCGCCAGCACGCTCACCTTGTTGAGCTGTATCTGGAAGAAGTCCTTGCCGTACAGACGCAGGCCGTTCTCGAAGTCGCGGCACTCCTCCTCGGTCCAGCCCGTCTCCTCTGCGTGCCACCACCACCCACCCACCCACCACAAAAAGACAAAGACACCCCCCCCCGCCCCGTATAGCCTTAACAGACTGTTGGGGCAAGTGCTGTTAACGAGCAGCAGCGCCTATGAAGGCCGGCACGGCAAGCGAGGGGGGGGGGGGGAGGTGTATGGCCAGCACCACGCCCGACCGCCTTTGTCTCCCGAGTGACGATGTTTACTACACACCGCACTAGGTACTCATTTGAGGCCGAGCCGACCTAGGGGAGGCCCAGGACCGGTTCAGGTAATCGTCACCGGCGTTGGCCGTGAGCGGCAATCGAACTCGGGTCGCCGGATTCGCAGTGCATCGCGCTACCCGCTACACTACCGCACACAAAGATCCCCCCCGTATAGCTCTAACAGACTGTTGGGGCAAGTGCTCTTAGCGAGCACCTATGAAGGCTGGCACAGCACGTGAGGGTGGTGGGTGGGTGGCCAACAGCACGCCCGACCGCTGTGCCACCGCCCCTCCACCCCTCCCCCCCCCCCTGCTCACACTGAGATAACCCATACTCACAGAGGATCCCCTGCTCACACTGAGACCCTTTACCCAGACCAAGACACCCCTGCTCGCCCTAAGTAATAGCTCAGCATGGGAGCCCACCACAACCCCCCCCCTCCCCCCAACCCCCCCAACCCCCCCCCAACCCCCCCAACCCCCCCCACCTTTCACGGCGCGCTCGTTGGAGCGCATCTTGGCGAGTGCTCGGCGAGCTTCGTAGTCGCTCCTCATGAGCTCGTACAGAGCCTGGGGGGGGGCGGGGCAGACCCGGGGGGATGGGGGGGGGAGAGGAGGGGGAGAATAGAGGGGGGGAGAGAGGGGGCAGAGGGTGGGCGGGGGAGGGAGAAAGGGGAGAGGGGGAAAGGGGGAGAATGGGGGGGGGTAGAGGGGGGAGAGGGGGCGTGAGTTTAGGGGGTAGAGGGGAGAGAGGGGGCGTGGGTTTAGGGGGTAGAGGGGGGAGAGAGGGCGTGATTTTAGGGGGGAGAGGGGGGAAGGGGGCGTGAGTTTAGGGGGTAGAGGGGGGAGAGGGGGCGTGAGTTTAGGGGGTAGCGGGGGGAGAGAGGGCGTGAGTTTAGGGGGGAGAGGGGGGAGAGGGGGTGTGAGTTTAGGGGGTAGATGGGGGAGAGAGGGCGTGAGTTTAGGGGGTAGAGGGGGGAGAGGGGGCGTGAGTTTAGGGGGTAGCGGGGGGAGAGAGGGCGTGAGTTTAGGGGGGAGAGGGGGCGTGAGTTTAGGGGGTAGAGGGGGGAGAGGGGGCGTGAGTTTAGGGGGTAGAGGGGGGAGAGGGGGCGTGAGTTTAGGGGGGAGAGGGGGCGTGAGTTTAGGGGGGAGAGGGGGGAGAGGGGGCGTGAGTTTAGGGGGGAGAGGGGGGAGAGGGGGCGTGAGTTTAGGGGGGAGAGGGGAGAGAGGGGGCGTGAGTTTAGGGGGTAGAGGGGGTAGAGGGGGCGTGAGTTTAGGGGGTAGAGGGGGTGCAGCCGAGGGGGGGCGCCGTAGGGGTGGTGCTCGCCAGGCCATCAGCCTCGTGTGCCACTGTGCCGGACTTCATCATCAGGTGCTGTTGCTCGCTGACAGCACTTGCCCCTACAGCCGGTGTGGGCTATACGGGGGATCTTTGTTTATGTGTGTGTGTGTGTGCGCGTGTCTGTCCCTGCCAGCGGTGAGCCTTCGGCGCATTCACGCGTAACCTCAAAGCGCACCTAGCCTGGCACGAGCGCCGTGGTGACGCCACCGCCACTTAGTGGCGAAAAGCTGCTGCTGCTGCTGTTGTTGCTGTACGTGGGCCTGTGCCGTGAGTCTGAGACACACAAAAGATCCCCCCCACATAGCCTGTAACAGACTGTACGGGCAAGTGCTGTTAGTGAGCACCTATGAAGGCCGACAAGACACTCGAGGAGGTGGGTGGCCAGTACAACGCCCGACCGCCTTTGTCTCCCCAGTGACGATGTTTACACAAATCTGAACCAGGTACTAATTTGAGGCCGAGTCGACCCAAGACTGGTTCAGATAATCGTCACCGGTGTTGGTGGCTGTGAGCCGGAAATCGAACTCGAGTCGTAGGGTTCGTAGCGCAGCGCTAACCGCGACACTACCGCTCCCGACGAGCCACCCACCCACACACACACATATATATGCGCACGCACGCACACACACACATGCATCATTGTAATCGTCGCCACTGCCGCCACCACCGCCGCCACCACCGCCGCCACAACCACGGCGCCCACCTGCTCGCGATCGCGCACGTGGTTGCCCTCAGGGATGGCGTGGAGGCCCCCGCCGCCCCCTCCCCCGACCCCCCCGCCGGGCCCTACAACATCTCCCCCTCCCCCCTCTCCATCGCCTTCTCCCCCTCCACCAACCCCGTTATCGTCCCCTTCCCCGCCGGGCCTGGCGGCCTCGCGCAGGAATCCCTCGAGCTCGCCGTCGAGCAGCAGCGGGCACGGCCTCCACAGCAGCTGGTCCTCGCCCTCGTACGCTGCGGTGCCACGCAAGGGGGGGGGGGGGGTACGGGTTAGGTGATGGTAGTAGTGGGTGTCAGGCTGGCTACTGGGTTAGGTGATAGTAGCATGGGCTGGCGACATGGCTAGTGGGTTAGGTGATGGTAGTAGTGGGTGTCAGGCTGGCTACTGGGTTAGGTGATAGTAGCATGGGCTGGCGACATGGCTAGTGGGTTAGGTGATGGTAGTAGGGGCTGGCGACATGGCTACTGAGTTAGGTGATGGTAGTAGTGGGTGTCTGGCTGGCTAGTGGGTTAGTGGTTAGTAGCATGGGCTGGCGACATGGCTAGTGGGTTAGGTGATGGTAGCATGGGCTGGCGACATGGCTAGTGGGTTAGGTGATAGTAGCATGGGCTGGCGATATGGCTAGTGGGTTAGGTGATGGTAGCATGGGCTGGCGACATGGCTAGTGGGTTAGGTGATGGTAGCATGGGCTGGCGACATGGCTAGTGGGTTAGGTGATGGTAGCATGGGCTGGCGACATGGCTAGTGGGTTAGGTGATGGTAGCATGGGCTGGCGACATGGCTAGTGGGTTAGGTGATGGTAGTAGGGGCTGGCGACATGGCTAGTGGGTTAGGTGATGGTAGTAGTGGGTGTCAGGCTGGCTACTGGGTTAGGTGATAGTAGCATGGGCTGGCGATATGGCTAGTGGGTTAGGTGATGGTAGCATGGGCTGGCGACATGGCTAGTGGGTTAGGTGATGGTAGCATGGGCTGGCGACATGGCTAGTGGGTTAGGTGATGGTAGCATGGGCTGGCGACATGGCTAGTGGGTTAGGTGATGGTAGCATGGGCTGGCGACATGGCTAGTGGGTTAGGTGATGGTAGTAGGGGCTGGCGACATGGCTAGTGGGTTAGGTGATGGTAGTAGTGGGTGTCAGGCTGGCTACTGGGTTAGGTGATAGTAGCATGGGCTGGCGATATGGCTAGTGGGTTAGGTGATGGTAGCATGGGCTGGCGACATGGCTAGTGGGTTAGGTGATGGTAGCATGGGCTGGCGACATGGCTAGTGGGTTAGGTGATGGTAGTAGGGGCTGGCGACATGGCTAGTGGGTTAGGTGATGGTAGTAGTGGGTGTCAGGCTGGCTACTGGGTTAGGTGATAGTAGCATGGGCTGGCGATATGGCTAGTGGGTTAGGTGATGGTAGCATGGGCTGGCGACATGGCTAGTGGGTTAGGTGATGGTAGCATGGGCTGGCGACATGGCTAGTGGGTTAGGTGATGGTAGTAGTGGGTGTCAGGCTGGCTACTGGGTTAGGTGATAGTAGCATGGGCTGGCGATATGGCTAGTGGGTTAGGTGATGGTAGTAGGGGCTGGCGACATGGCTAGTGGGTTAGGTGGTGGTAGTAGTGGGTGTCAAGCTGACAAGTGGGTTAGTGGTTAGTAGCATGGGCTGGCGACATGGCTACTGAGTTAGGTGATAGTAGCATGGGCTGGCGACATGGCTAGTGGGTTAGGTGATGGTAGCATGGGCTGGTGACATGGCTAGTGGGTTAGTGGTTAGTAGCATGGGCTGGCGACATGGCTACTGAGTTAGGTGATGGTAGTAGTGGGTGTCTTGCTGGCTAGTGGGTTAGTGGTTAGTAGCATGGGCTGGCTACATGGCTAGTGGGTTAGGTGATAGTAGCATGGGCTGGCGACATGGCTAGTGGGTTAGGTGATGGTAGTAGGGGCTGGCGACATGGCTAGTGGGTGAGGTGATGGTAGTAGGGGCTGGCTGGCTACTGGGTTAGGTGATGGTAGCATGGGCTGGCGACATGGCTACTGAGTTAGGTGATGGTAGTAGTGGGTGTCTGGCTGGCTAGTGGGTTAGTGGTTAGTAGCGTGGGCTTGCGACATGGCTAGTGGGTTAGGTGATGGTAGTAGTGGGTGTCTGGCTGGCTAGTGGGTTAGTGGTTAGTAGTAGTCATGGTAGTGGTTGAGTGGTAGCCACCGCCCTGGTGCATCTCGCCGGTGCCAAGAGGGCCTCACCCTTCTCGCCGTCCTGGTAGCGGCAAATCCCCGTGGGCACCTCGGCCTGGTACATGGAGCCCACCATGATCTCCTGGCACCGGTGCGCGGGGGGGGGGGGGGGAGGAGGCAGAGTCGTGGCAAAACGATGACAACCCTCGATTCATGGGGACTTTTTTTTGCTAGTTTCAAAGTATTAAAAATTATTAATCGGCTTTACCCTTCGTGGCAATACAACAGGAGTTGTGTTCAGATGTTCAAACACCAAATAGAGAAACCTTTTGCAAAGAATCAAGCCGGTGTAGGGCCAATCACTTTCAAGCTCGTTAAAACCCCCCCCCCCTCCACCACAACCGCGAGCTCCTGCCGAGAGAGCCGTCGACACTTTCAATCGACCTCGACGCGCACCGTGCCTGGCGCAAGCGCCGGCGTGACGTCGCCGTGAGGATGACCGCGAACTCCGGTCGACCTCGCAGCGGCGGCAAACTTTTAGGCTCGGCCATCGACCAAAAGACGGCGGTCGCCGCATCGTGCAGCGCTTTCCGGTGCGCTTCTGCGGCCGTCTGGAATGCTCTCTTCCTTCCGGCATTAGGAAGCCACTGGGAGCTACGGCACTTTTAGATCATCATCTAGCTTGGACAAACTGCCCGCCACTCACATTAACATTGGCTGCTGACATTTGGGCTACGCCCATTTCAAACCTTTATAAACAGTTCACCTTTAGAAGCTAACCCCCTCTTTCTGATGACGAACGCTTCTGTTGAGATCGTTAACGTCGTAATCTTGTTATTTTATTTGAACCTATATATGTGACTTTACAGAAAGACCCAAACAATACAAACTGACTTCTCCAAAACTGCTTGTTGTTGTGTTTAGCTTGTTGTCCTTGCCCCCGCAACCTCCGATTAGCACGGTTGGCTACGTACGGTGCGAACGAAGTTCAACGTGCGTACACTCGTACTGTTGCCGGTTAGCGGCCAACGGCCATTGTCGCTGTCGTCAACTGGACATCTGTGAAACAGAGCTTTACAGCTCATCGGATTCCCCCGGTATAAATACATATTCTGATTGTGTTGTTTGTGCGCAAGGTGATTGGGTAAAATGAACGGACTGACCGCAGCTGGGGTGGGCCGAGGGAGGGGGGGAACGGGGGAGGGGGGCTGCGGGGGAGCCTTCTTACTTTCTTCCAGTCGTCGGACGGCATGTAGTCCTCGTCGTCCTCCGACTCCGAGCTGCCCTTGTCTCCCTCGCCCAGCAGAGCTCGCGCTGCCGACAGCAACGCAGCGGGAGGAGTGCCGGGGATCGGGGGTGGAGGGGGAGGTGGCGCTGCGCATTACGATTCGCAGTGGACGCTCCGTACAGGACGGTGCATCGGTTCAACCTCGATCACCTCCTCTATGAGTTCGATGACCTATACGACCTCCTCTATGACCCTGATGACCTCCTCTGTGACCTACGCTATGACCTCTATGACACAGCTGGGCAAACCGCCCTTGGGACACGAGAATACATTTTCATTTTCGCTGCAGGGCTGCTCCACAACGAGATTCAACCCCGTACTCGACCCGTTCTTATTTCCGTCGGACAATCCTAACCATCCACGAGGCGCTATCCGATTCGTCTATTCACAGCTCCGAGATATCCGCACGCAATCCGGATCAAAAGCATTTAAAACTTCTTTAACTATTTTTTTTTTATTTTACTAGGTAAGGCCCCACTGAGCTGCTTTCAGAAGCAGGCCTGGCCACATCGTGTGGAAATGTATAGCAGCAGCCAAACAGTTTAAATGCGTGATGTTGATTCTAAATGTGAAGGGAAAAACTGGAGGACCCCGGAGAAAAATCCACGCGACTACCATTGGGAAAGAGAGAGAGACAGACACGCAAACTCCAAATATACAGCAGGCATTGTCAGGGTCAGGGTCGAACCCACTACCTACTACAGTAAAACCTTGGATTGCGAGCATAATTCGTTCCGGAAACGTGTTTGTAATCCAAAGCACTCGTATATCAAAGCACTCGTATATCAGTTGTGATCACGTGACGCTCGGCAAACAAAGCTTATACGTACTACTACTCGTATTGCAAGACCCTCGCTCGTTTATCAAATTAATATTGATTTAAAATTTGTGCTCGTTTTGCAAAACACTCGCAGACCAAGTTACTCGCAATTCAAGGTTTTACTGTATATTGATTTGAAGCTTTCGTGACTGCAGGAATCCATATTCTTTGGTTCTTTCGGTGAAGTCACGTAGGTAGAAATTAAACAAAAAATAATAAATCACGACGTTTCGATCGCAACACAAGCGGTCGTCCTCAGGTGGAAAAAAATGATCCAGCAGTGGAACTGCTGAACCAGCAGTTCTACTGCTGGATAATTTTTTCACTGCCTACTCTATACCGGGCGAGGTAGTTAACATCTCCTAGCCAGTGATGATGAGAGAGACGCACGCAAACTCCAAATATACAACAAGCATTGTCAGGGTCAGGATCGAACCCATGACCTCCTGTACACCAGGCGAGGTAGTTAACATCTCAGAGCCACCATGGCACCCCCTGGCAGGACGCTCCTGAAACATGAGCCACGAGACTCAGCGAGGCGCTCTTGGGTAAACAAACAAAACCACCAACAACTACGAGACGAATGACATCAATCAGTCCTAAGTGGCAGTCTCTGCCCATGTCCAGGTACCGGCAACATCGGCCTGCAACCGTGGCACCCCGTCTGATGTGGCCGCCCCGTCTGATGTGGCCGCCCCGTCTGATGTGGTCGCCCCGTCTGATGTGGTCGCCCCGTCTGATGTGGCCGCCCCGTCTGATGTGGTAGCCCCGTCTGATGTGGTAGCCCCGTCTGATGTGGCCGCCCCATCTGATGTGGCCGCCCCGTTTGATGTGTCCGCCCCATCTGATGTGGCCGCCCCGTCTGATGTGGCCGCCCCATCTGATGTGGCTGCCCCGTTTGATGTGTCCGCCCCATCTGATGTGGCCGCCCCGTCTGATGTGGCCGCCCCATCTGATGTGGCTGCCCCGTTTGATGTGGTAGCCCCGTCTGATGTGGCCGCCCCATCTGATGTGGCCGCCCCGTCTGATGTGGTAGCCCCGTCTGATGTGGCCGCCCCATCTGATGTGGCCGCCCCGTTTGATGGTTGGGGGCGGGGGAGAGGCGCGAACGCCGGGAACCACGTGGCGTCGCCGCTGCACCGGGCCCAGCCAGCTTGGCTGGCCGTACTCACAGCGCAACGTCCGCGTCAGGAGGTCCGGCCGCTCGGCAGAACCGGCAAGGGGCACGAGGTCGTCGGCGGATGACTCTGTCTCCTCGCCCTCCTCCTCCATCTCCTCGCCCTCCTCTCCGGTCCGAGCCGCCGCCACCGCCTCCTCCTCCGCCTTCTCCCCCACGCCGTCAGCTTCCTGCAGGGGCTCCGCCTCTTCTTGCTCTGGCTCCTCCCCATCGACGCTGGGCCCAGCCTCAATGCCCACCTGCGGGAGGTCAAGGGGACAAAGTGGGGGAGGCGGTGATGGTGTCGCGGTTAGGGCGCTGCGCTACCAACCCGGCTACGACCCGCGTTCGATTCCCGATCGCGGCCAACACACCAACACCGGTGACGATTATCTTAACCGGTCCTGGGCCTCCCCGAGGTCGACTCAGCTCCAAAATGAGTACCTGGTGCGGTGTGTAAACATCGCCCAATGGGGAAACAAAGGCGGCTGGGCGTGGTGCTGGCCATTCCAACCCCTCGACGTTCACCAAATAGATTGAACATCTTAACACCTCCTGTTTTATTGCCAGAAAGGGTAAAACCTATTCTTATTTTTCACCATTTTGGATATTGGCAAAACAAAGGTCCCGTCGCTACAACTCCATTGCCATTGCACACAAGTGTGGGGTTCATCTTACTGTCCGGAGCATCTTACGAAGCCAGAGAAGACGCGCCACTCAACAATGACGAAGGAGCCAATTCTTGAGTCGTTACCCGAGATGTTTACGGGGGCCCGGCGCGTGCCAAAAACAAAAGAGCGCAGTCGAAATTTGCCGGGAATAAATCGGTCCCCCCCCCCACCCTTTTTTTTTCTTCTTCACCCCCCAACAGAAAAGTGATTTCAGCCAACACAAGAAAATTTGACCCCAGCGGCATAGAAAGTTCGTGTTGTATAAAAGGGGGTCGTGACCTTTCCGCCGGGTTTCTCCGACGGTTGCTGCTGCTGCTGCTGCGTCGGTCCCTCCTCCTCTTCCCGCTCTTCCCCCTCCTCCCCCTCCTCCTCACCCTCCCCCTCCTCCTCGTGCGCGTCTGTGCCGTTACCCGCCGCGTTGGGCAAGGGGACAGTGCTGCCGTAGCCGTAGAGAACCAGCAGCTGGTCCAGCGGCATCTCCCCCTCCTGCGCGGCAAAGCACGACACGACGGGGCGCGCGGGGCACGCACGCGTCACGCACAACAGCAGCAACCGCCGTCGTTCACCGCCAAGTGGCGGTGACGTCACCACGGCACCTGTGCCAGGCCAAGTGCACTTTGAGGCCATCGGGTGACGTGTCGAAGGCTCGGCTATTGGCAGGGGGTCACGGGACAGACCCACAGGTGCCACGGGTTGACTGACTGAGATGACTGGTGGATGCACCGGCCGTGCTCCCCACTGTGTCAACTTGGCGGTACTTGGCCAGTACACAGCGCACTCACACACACGTGACATATTATACACACGAGCAAATGCACATGGTAGACACACAGCATACATTATACACACGCGTCACATGTGCAGACACACACACACGTGCGGTACAAACAGTGCACAAAAAATCCAAACATCCCCCCATATAGCCATAACAGACTGTTGGGGCAAGTGCCGTTCACGAGCAGCACCTATGAAGGCCGGCACAGCACACGGTGGGGTGTGTGGCAAACACCACACCCGGCCGCTATTTGTCTCCCGAGTGGCGATGTTGTCTGAACCGGTCGTGGGCCTCCAGTAGATCGACTCAAACGAGTAACTGGTGCGGCGTGTAAACATCGCCGCTCAGGAGACAAAAGTGACCAGGCGTGGTGCTGGCCACCCAAGCCCTCCTCGTGTGCCACAGCGCCGGCCTTCATAGGTGCTGCTGCACGCTAACAGCATTTGCCCCAACAGTCAGTTCGAGGCTACACTGGAGGTGGGGGGGGGGGGGGAATCTCTATCGTGCCTTCTCCAGGTCGTTGATCTCGGACGTGAAGTCCGTGTCCCCCTCGAGTGCCTCCTCCTCGTCCAGCGTCCTCTCGTTGTCCACGTCGTGCAGCATCATCTCGGCCGTCACCTCGAAGTCGCGGTCCTCCCAGCCCACGCCGGCCGGGGCGACGGCGGCACCGCCAACGCCACCTCCACCGCCGCCTCCACCGCCTGCCAAGGCGCGCGGAAGCGTTCGCCGTCACCACCACCACCGACGACTACCACTAACAACGCGCGAGGGTGATAACACTGCCGTAGCTGTTTCAAAAAAACGACCTGTGCATCAGAAATGGAAATTTACAGCGGCAACCAAATAACTCTAAACACGTGACGTCGATTCTAAATGCGGAGGGGAAAAACCGGAGGATGCGGAGAGAAATCCACACGACCACGGGGAGAGAGAGATGCGAACTCCAAATATACGGCAGGCTTCAAGGTCGGGATCAAACCCAAGACCTCCTGTAGACCAGACGAGGTAGTTAACATCTCCTAGCCACCGTGGCACCCACAACCACTACACACCCCACGGTGATACGACCACCACTCCTGCCACCACTACTGCTAACCACCCCGTTGGTAACGCACGTTATGTCAAAATGTAGACACGCAGTATCCGCCTCCCGCGGTCCATTCTCTAACCAATGAGTCGCAACGCAACGTGCCACGACAGAGACATCAAAGCGGATCCTTCACTCACCGACGGCACGATCGTGAGGGGGGGCGGGGGAGGTGGATTACAAACGTTGAAATAAAAAGCCGTGTGCGCTGCGCGAGCATCATATGGTGCGCTTGGGCTCACCCGAGCTGGCGATCCCATTTGAGCCCTGTCGCAGAAGAAGCACAAACGCAAAACAGAGAGAGACGGAGCAACGTCAGACACAGCACACGCTGATGGCGACATCAGCGTGCCACGACCGCGTGGTGTTATATTGTTATATCATATCACGACGCGGCACTGCATGCAATGCGACGAAGTGCCACTTCAGCGGAGCGCGTTTTTTTGTTGTTTGTTGCGTATAACGACGCGGGCGTGAATCGGATATCGCGACGCGATCGAGTGAACGGAACTGCAACGCCGTCGTGCGCGGTGGGAATAAGCGGGTTCTAGCGCCTGCACTCCGCGGAGCGCTGTGGCGCGAGGCATCTGGATGCTGCGAGACGCTACCCGCCAGGCGCGCCTCGGTCTCATCGTGTCATCGCGGCGTTGTCGCGTACCGCGCTTTGCCCCCCCTACATTATGTAATCGTATATTAGATGGGGACTCCTCCCCCTCTACTTACGAACATTCGACTTAGGAACTTTCAGGGATACGAATAGACCTGGTCCGTATGTCCAGTTGAATGTTCGGACTGAGAGTCTTAACATCAACCGCCCGCGCAACAGATGGCGGTCGTGGCATCTACATCTGCAGAACGTGAAGAACCAGTGGCACCTACATCTACAGAACGTGAAGAACCAGTGGCACTTACATCTACAGAACGTGAAGAACCAGTGGGATCTACGTCTGCAGGATATTATAAAACATTTAACGCCTTCCCCGTGTTTAGTGTACATGCCGCACAACACGTATGGCATCGACAGGAGTACTAAGAACAAATCGACTTACGAACGAACCTCTGGAACAAACTCGTTCGTAAGTAGAGGAGCCCCTGTAACAGGATTTTTCCTTAATGCGGTGCTTCTCAGGAACGCAACTACTACTGCACTACAGTAGAGAACAGTCTGTACGTACACGGTGCAGCCCTTGGTCGATCCACTGCTGCATGAGGTGCTCCCCACGCCGTTCGGGGTCATCGGGCATTATTCAAACAAACTTATTTGGCGAAAGGAGGGGAGCACAATCGTGGGAACGTACAAGTACAGTACAACATGGAAAAGTTAGCTGCAATGCCCTCCTCTGTCCACGGCGTAGCACCGCAGCAGCCTACCTACACCGACGCAATTACATCTGCAACCAAACACTGCAACTTTGCATGCCCGCGATTCAGGTCTGTTCACTTGATAAACTGTGCACACCTGTGGTTATATCAAACCTTTAACTCGCCAATAACCTGTCAATACACACCCAATAGCCTTAGCGATACGAGTACCACTCGTTGAAAACGCAGCTTGACCTGTGCACATCAACGAGTATTTTTTTTTATTCTACCAGCTAAGGCCCATTGAGCTATACATAGCTCTCTTTCAGACCCAACCTGGGCATCACAAATGGTAAATTGCTCATCACGTGGAAATGTATAGCAGCAGCCAAATAACTAAAAACGCGCAATGTTGATTCTAAATGTGGAGAGTAAAAACCGGAGGACCTGGAGAATAATCCACGCGACCACGGGAAAAGAGAGACAGGCAAACTCCAAATATACAGCAGGCGTCAGGGTCGGGATCAAGCCAACGACCACCTGTAAATCAGGCGAGGTAGTTAACATATCGCCGCCGTGGCACCCCTGTGCTATGCTATATACTGAAAACGCCCTTACCTGTGCGTGCACACCTGTAGCCAAAATACACCCCTCTAAGAGACACCCTTCTAAAAGACACTCAGATCCATCATATTTCGTACATATGTATGTTGAACTTCTTTAACATCGTACGTAGCTGACCGTGCTAATCGGAGGTGCGGGAATGACAACAAACTAAACACAACAATCCATTGTAAATAAATGAGCTTGTAAATCTAAATGATGATTTAAAAGCGCACGGCGCTCAGTGGCTTCGTAATATCGGAAAGAAAGAGCGTTCCAGACGGCTGCAGAAGCGCATCCGAAAGCACCACGCGAGGCGGTGTTGACTCGTCTTTGTTCGATGGCTCCTGTCGTGCTTTTTTGAATTGTTCATTGTCGTAACGCTTTTCATCTTTAACCGCCCATAATCCGAATGCCAATTCACAACTATAAACGGCACACAGATCCAGCAGCATCAACAGCACAAACATTGAACAGGGGTGCAATAAAACCCACAACCATTGAACAAAAAGTAAACTATTAAACTTAAACATTGTTATTCTTGGTACTTTCGGTAAAGTCACGTAGAAGGGAAACAATAAAATACAAATATAAAACAATAAAATTCTCACGACGTTTCGACTGCAACACAAGCAATCATCATCAGGTGTGAAAACCACAGCAAGAAAAACTTTTGAAAAAATAATAAGAAATGTTTCTTGCTGTGGTTTTCACACCTGATGATGATTGCTTGTGTTGCAGTCGAAACGTCATGAGAATTTTATTGTTTTATATTGTTATTATTTTATTGTTTCCCTTCTACGTGACTTTACCGAAAGAACCAAGAATATGAATCCCTGCAGTCACGAAAGCTTTAAATCAAAACTTAAACATTGTTTTTAGTTTACCAGGTAGGGCCACACTGAGACGCTGCATATCTCTTTTTTCAGGAGCGACCCTGGCTATCACAAATGATAGTTCAACAAAGTGGGCTTATCATCACGTGGAAATGTATCGCAGGCAAATACTCTAAACCGCGTGACGTTGAGTCTAAATGTGGAGAGAAAAACCGGAGGATCGGGAGAAAAATTCACGTGACCGCGAGGAGAGAGAGAGACAGACGCACGCAAACTTTAAAAATGGAGGCATTGCCAGGGTCGGGTTCGAACCCATCACCTCCTGTATACCAGGCGAGGTAGTTAACATCTCCTAGCCACCGTGGCACCCACGGTAATGAGAACAGTACCACCAACACAATTACACAACAGCACCTGTAACAAGACAATAAGAGTCAATGGAAAAAAAAGCAACAATCAACAACGCGGCACACAATTTATATCACACGGTCCCACGCTGAAAAGAAAACGTCCTATACAGGGGCTCCTCTGCTTACAAACGAGTTAGGTTCCAGAGGTCTGTTCGTCAGTCGATTTGTTCGTAAGTCCGACTTTACTCCCGTCGAATACAAACGTGTTGTACGGCGTGTACACTAAACACGGGGAATGGCTTTATAAGTTGTATAATCTCTCTTCTTTGGTTCTTTCGGTAATGTCACGTAGAATGAGAATAAAATAATAAAATAACACAATAAAATTCGCACGTTTCGAAATTGTATAATCCCCTGTAGACATTTTAGCCACTGGTTCTTCACGTTCTGCAGATGTAGATGCCCCTGGTTCTTCACGTTCTGCAGATGCCACTGGTTCTCCTTGTACTGTTGATGTAGATGCCACCACCGCCATCTGTTGCGTGGAGCCTACGACTCTCGGTTCCGAACAGGCAAATGGACATACGGACAGCTTTGTTCGTATCTCTAAAGGTTCGTAAGTCGAATGTTCGTAAGTAGAGGAGTCCCTGTAAATTCAAATGCGATTCAGATATAGTTTGATTTTATTTGTGTATTAAGAAAAAGTTATTAGTTTACCTTTCATATACTCTGCACTCCTATTGTGTTTTGTAATTGTTTGTCGTGCCGTTCTGACCCCGTACCGCTCCTGCAGTATAAATAAAGATGCTGATAATGATGAATAAACGATGCAACGCCACAAACTTAATTAAGCATCAACTATGCATGACCGCCAATTCCTACAAAAAGCAATAATACCAACACACACACACACCAATCAATGGCAATTAGATATGTATTGGACAAGAGGGCGCATTGTAACTGTGGCGAGATGTTAACTACCTCGCCAGGTGTGCACGATGTCGTGGGTTCGATCCCGACCCAGACGATGCCTGCTGCTGTATATTTGTAGTTTGTGGTTGCGTGGATTTTTCTCTGGGTCCTCCGGTTTTCCCCTCCACATTTAGAATCAATGTCACGCGTTTTGAGTTATTTAGCTGCTGCTATAAATTTCCACGTGATATGCCACTTTGTTGAGCTATCATTTGTGATAGGTCACTTCTGTAAAAAAAGAGCTATATAGCTCAGTGGGGCATTACCTGGAAAAATAACTGTTTACCTTTACGCGAGTATTCCGACTGCTATAAATGTCCACGTGCTGATAATTATAAACCACGCTGGGCTATCATTTGTGAAGCCAGGTCGCTTCTGGTCAAACGCGCTACTATATAGCAGCTTAGTGGGGCCTTACCTGGTAAAATAAATACTCTAGTAGTAGTAAACAGACATCTTAGATTGCTTCCTCTTGGTCGACGTCAAAGTTTGTGCGAACTATTGACAGTGACCTTAAATTTAAGTATTTACGGTCGCACCTCTGGATTAGCATGGTTGGCTACGTACGGTACGAAAGAAGTTCAAAATAATTCAGACTCACACAGAGACCCATAGACTCAAACAGAGATCCAGACTCACACAGAGACCCATAGACTCACACAGAGACCCACAGACTCACACAGAGACCCATAGACTCACACAGAGACCCACAGACTCACAAAGAGATAGAAAGACTCACACAGAGACCCACAGACTCATACAGAGACCCATAGACTCAAGAGACTCACAGACTCATACTCACACAGATAGACCCATTGACTCACACAGAGACCCATAGACTCACACAGAGACCCATAGACTCACAAAGAGATCCATAGACTCACACAGGGACCCACAGACTCATACTCACACAGATAGACCCATTGACTCACACAGAGACCCATAGACTCACACAGAGACCCATAGACTCACAAAGAGATCCATAGACTCACACAGGGACCCACAGACTCATACTCACACAGATAGACCCATAGACTCACCCAGACTCAGAGACCCATAGACTCAGAGACCCACAGACTCATACTCACACAGACCCATAGACTCACACAGAGACCCATAGACTCATACAAGAGACCCATAGTTTGTTGTCCTTCCCTCCGCACCTCCGAATCGCAGTTGGCTACGTACGGTGCTAAAGAAGTTCAACATACGTGCATAAATACATGAGAAAAACCACAAACGCAGATTTGTTTTGTTGCAGGAACTTCTAATGCCGTTGTTTGCGTAACGTAGAGGCGTGGTGATTTATGTATAGGGATTGAGGCACACAATACACACCCCTCCGAATATTTTAGTGGAGGAATCCGATGAGCTATAAAGCTCTTCATCCCCCCTCCCCACTCCCCTCCGACCCACGAGCCATCTTCACGGAGCGTAGTCAAACTTGATTTGGAGCTTTCGTGACTGCAGGAATTACTCTTTGGTGATTTCGGTAAAGTCACGTAGATAGAAAAAAAATGAAATAATAGCATACGACGTGTCGATTGCAACACGAGCAATCATCATCGTAGTCAAGTTTATTTTTAGTTTTAATATTTAGTGCGCGTTGTTATCCTTGTCCCCCTTGCACTCCCGTATCGTTCGCTGCGACGTTCTTAGTCAACCCCCGACTGGAGGTCCGTGCGGAAGGAGGGAGGTGGAGGGGTGGGGTAACTAAAGAGCTTCACGGCGCATCGGATTCCTCGAGATTTCAAATCGGTACTCCAGATTCCGATGTTGTTCATCGGATCTTGCTGCCACTGTACCAAAGCAGCAGCAGCGGCGGCGGCGGCGGCGGCATTTAAGTAACAAGTTACACGACAATGTAACGCGTGCGTCAAACTAAATTTCGGATACTTTTTTTCTGAGGGGAATTTGTCTTCTTCTTCTTCTTCCCGCTTCCCCCCAGCGACGCGGGAGCCGAGACCACTCCACCACCCACCCCCCGGGTAGTGTGCGGGTTGGGGAGTTCGGTCACGGACCCGCGGTCGTTCGCTCGTCGAGGAGGATAACAAGAAGCAGCGAGAGAGACGACGACGATGTGAGGGGGGAGAGAGATGGAGGGGGTTCGAAGCGCCCAGCAAAAGTCCGCACCGGCGCACTCACACCACCGCCAGCAGCAGCAGCAGCACACCGCCTCACCTCCGCCATGTTGGTGACCCCCTTCACCCCGCGCATTGATTCTCCCCCGCCCCCGCTGCTACCGTGGACGCGCATTGGCGGAGGCCGAACCCCCCCCTCCCTCATCGCCGCCCTTCCCGATTGGTCGGTTTGGCCGAAGCTCCGCCTTCGCACGCCCCGCTCGGCCAATAGAGAATGGGCGAGGGAGGGGCGGCGGAGGGGGCTCTCCGGCGCACGTGACCCGGGCAGTCCACCTCCACCCCACCCCGCAACTTCCACCCCCACCCACACCCACCTCACCCCTCCCCTCTAATTCCCCCCCCCACATCCCACCCCCCCCACATCCATAGTGGGAAATGTAAATGAGGGGGGGTGGACGTGAGTTGCCCGGATGTAGGATGAGTGAGTGACTCTCACGTGGGTCACGGGTGAGCACGTGGGGAGGGGGGGGGGCTGTGTGCGCACCTGGGCTGCCCTTAGGTGCACCTGGCCTGGCACAGGCGCCATTGTGACGTCACCGAGTGGCGAATGGCGGCTATTGGTATTGGCGCAGCTAGGTCGACTCAGCCTCAAACGACTACCTGGTGCAGCGGCTGGCGGGGGCCGTTTGTGAGGGAGCCGACGGAGGGAGCCGATGGAGCCGGGGGGGGGGCGACGGAGCCGGGGGGGGCGGGGGGGGCCGATGGGGGGGGGCGACGGAGCCGGGGGGGGGGCGACGGAGCTGGGGTGGGGGGGCGACGGAGCAAAGGGAGCCGACACTGACTTTCTTCACACATCATGCACTGACTCACTCACACATCATACACTGACCCACTCACACCATGCACTGACTCACTCACACATCATACACTGACTCACACCATGCACTGACTCACACATCTTGCACTGACTGACTCACATCATGCACTGACTCACTCACACCATGCACTGACTCGCTCACACATCATGCACTGACTCACTCACACCATGCACTGACTCACTCACACATCATACACTGACTCACACCATGCACTGACTCACACATCATGCACTGACTCGCTCATCATGCGCTTACTCACTCACACATCATACACTCGCACAACCACTGACCCATTCACTCATCATACACAGGTTCACTCATCGTGTGCTGACTCACTCGCACATCATACACTCACTCAACCTAATACTGACTCAATCATCATACGCTGACTCACACATCATACACTGACTCACACATCATACGCTGACTCACACATCATACACTTACGCTGCTGCTGACTCACACACATCATACACTGGGAGTGTCGTGCTGCCAGCTATGGCTGCAGTTTTTTGTCATACGTTTATTGTAAAATTTAAAATCACAGTTCCTATGATTACTGTTGTTACATTTTATTTATAGCTTTATTTTGGTGATTCAAAAACATATGGTTAATCTAAATTGTCTTATGGTTGTTGTTGTTGGCTTGCACCACATTTATTTTTGCACACAGCGTTTTAATACGTTTTTTTTTTTGCGTGTGGAATATTTGCTGGTTTATTCCAGGATGTTTCTGTTACGCGTTGTCGCTTTAAGATGTTGTGTTCAAATTTCGTTTATTGCGGTTGCACCCGACTTAAGAGCCGCATGGCTCACAGGGCTACACCTAATAAATAAAACTTGAAACAAGAGAGAGACAAAGGCGGTCGGGCGTGGTGCTGGCCACCCACCCCCCTGGTGTGCCGTGCCGGCCTTCAAAGATGCTCGCTAACAGCACTTGCCCCAACAGTCTGTCAAGGCTGTACGGGGGGGGGTCTTTATTGTGTTGCATCTGCAAGTCGTCTCGGTCGGTCAACCCATGGCACCTGCTGGGTCTGTCCCGTGACCTCCTCCTGCCTGCAGCGAGCCTTCGACACTTCACGTGACGGCCTCAACGTGCACGTAGCCTGGTGCGAATGGCGGCTATTGGTGTGTGCACCTGTAGGAGCTTACTACTCGCTAACAGCACTTGCCCCCCATAGCATGTGCAGGCTATACGGGGGGGTCTTTGTCTTTGGGGGCCGTCCTTAAATGACGTCAAGCGATTTTGGACGATTTTTGACCCCCCCCCCTCGTCACACGGCTTCACAAAAAGTCAGAGCCCCCCCCCCTCAAATATGACGTCACAAAGCTCTGCCCCCCCTCCCCCCCAAAATAAAACATGCTTCAAATCGCTTTAAACTATTGTCATTGTAGTGCGTATTTAATGTGGCGCTGCACTCTGATGTTGTAGGAGAAAACATTTATTAAAACAGTCTATTTAATTAAGTAGAACGTGTTAATATGTATTTAAAGTTGTGCATTTTAATGTGACGTCACATTTCTCCCCCCCCCGTCACACATCGTCACAAATGTCTGACCCCCCCCCCCCCCCGCTAGGTGCGTGACGTCATTTATGGACGGCCCCTTGTGCGTGCCAAGCCTGTGGGTCGACTCAGCCTCAAATTAGTAACGTGGTGCGATGGTGTAAAATCATCGTTACTGGGGAGACAAAGGCGGTCGGGCGTGGTGCTGGCCACCCACCACCCCCTCGTGTGCCGTGCCAGCCTTCATAGGTGCGACTCGCTAACAGGCACTTGCCCCAATAATCTGTTAAGGCTATACGGGGGATCCTTGTTTTGTGCACCTAGCCTGGCACAAGCACCGTGGTGACGTAACCGCCACTTGGTGGCGAATGGCAGCTGTTGTTGTGTATGGCATGGACTTGCAATAAGACCTCTACCAGCGGTGTCAAGATCGGCCTCTGTGGAGGAAGTGGCTCGTGAAGGACGCTACTACTGGGCAGTGCCAGGCTAGGTGCACAGTGAGGCAACTGGGCAGTTGGAGGTAGTCGCCCTCCATCAACAACGGAGAGCAGAGGAGCGACTGCTCACGACAACGAGCACAGCGCCGGGCGGATAAAACGCAGCGAGTTGGCAGGGAGCACAGCTGGTGGATCTACCAATCGTCTCCGTCAATCAACCCATTGCATCCGGATCTGTTCCGTGACCTCATCCTGCACCTAGCCTGGCACAGCAGCAGTCAACCCATGGCACCTGCTGGGTCTCTCCCGTGACTTCATCCTGCACCTAGCCTGGCACAGCAGCAGCTAAACCATGGCACCTGCTGGGTCTGTCCCGTGACCTCCTCCTGCACCTAGCCTGGCACAGCAGTACAACCCATGGCACCTGCTGGGTCTGTCCCGTGACCTCCTCCTGCACCTAGCCTGGTACAGCAGCAGTCAACCCATGGCACCTGGGTCTGTCCCGTGACCTCCTCCTGCACGTAGCCTGGCACAGCAGTACAACCCAAGGCACCTGCTGGGTCTGTCCCGTGACTTCATCCTGCACCTCGCCTGGCACAGCAGCAGTCAACCCATGGCACCTGCAGGGTCTGTCCCGTGACCTCATCCTGCACCTAGCCTGGCACAGCAGCAGCTAAACCATGGCACCTGCTGGGTCTGTCCCGTGACCTCATCCTGCACCTAGCCTGGCACAGCAGCAGTCAACCCATGGCACCTGCTGGGTCTGTCCCGTGACTTCATCCTGCACCTAGCCTGGCACAGCAGCAGCTAACCCATGGCACCTGGGTCTGTCCCGTGACCTGCCAGCAGCGAGCCTTCGAAACTTCACGTGACGGCCTCAAAGTGCACCTAGCTTGGCACGAGCGCTATGGTGACGTCAATAGAGAATCGCACCTCCAATCAGCACGGTTGACTATGTAGAGTGCGAAAGAAGTTCAACTTACAATGGCGGTGGCGTGTTTGTTGCTATGTTTAATGTCTGATCGGTTTATCGACAATTATATTGAATACACTTTATCAGCGCTGTATAGCGTCAATTATCGCCAAGATTAACCTACTTAGTACGTCGATAATTGCTACGTGGAATAAGTTAAATACTCTAACTCCCATATTCACGAACATTCGACTTACGAACTTTCAGAGATACGAACAAACCTGGTCCGTATGTCCAGTTGCCTGTTTAGACCGAGAATCGTAAGTTCAATCGTCGTGCAATAGATGATGGTGGTGGCATCTACATCTGCAGAACGTGAAGAACCAGTGGCACCTACATCTACAGAACATGAAGAACCAGTGGCACCTACATCTACAGAACATGAAGAACCAGTGGCATCTGCAGAACGTGAATAATCAGTGGCATTTACATCTGCAGAACGTGAGACTCACACAGAGACTCATAGACTCACACCACAGAGAACCCATAGACTCACACACAGACCCGTGGACTCACACCACAAAGACCCATAGACTCATACAGAGACCCATAGACCACAGAGACCCATAGACTCACACCACAGAGACCCATAGACTCACACCACAGAGACCCATAGACTCACACCACAGAGACCCATAGACTCACACCACAGAGACCCATAGACTCACACACAGACCCATAGACTCACACCACAGAGACCCATAGACTCACACGACAGAGACCCATAGACTCACACCACAGAGACCCATAGACTCACACAGAGACCCATAGACTCACACCACAGAGACCCATGGACTCACACCACAGAAGCCGATAGACTCACACCACACAGACCCATAGACTCACACCACAGAGACCCATAGACTCACACCACAAACACCCATAGACTCACACAACAGAGACTCATACAACAGAGACTCATAGACACACCACAGATACTCATAGACTCACACCACAGAGATTCATAGATTCACACCATAAAGACCCATAGACTCACACCACAGAGACCCATAGACTCACACCACAGATACTCATAGACTCACACCACAGAGACCCATAGACTCACACCACAGAGACCCATAGACTCACACCACAGAGACCCATAGACTCACACCACAGAGACCCATAGACTCACACCAAAGGTACCCATATAACCTAATTCGTTCGTAAGTAGAGGAGTCCCCAACGCGCGACATTTTGACGCACGTGGTCTGTGCCCCGCCGAGACCAGAGCAATCGATCGCACACCATCCAACCACGGATTAAACTTCCACTGCCGCATATATTTTCTGTAATTAATCGGCAAATAAGCTTGCACGTTTTAAATGTTACCGATTTTGAGGAGGTAAAAGCAGTCGAACAGTTGACAAGTGCTTCAAGCATCGACGAGAAATCAAAGCGGATTAAAAACCTGTAAGGGGCCGCCCATAAATGACGTCACGCGATTTTGGACGATTTTTGACTCCCCCCCCATCGTCACAAGGCGTCACAAAAAGTCAGACCCCCCCCCCTCAAATATGACGTCACAAAGCTCTGCCCCCTCCCCCCCCAAAAATAAAACATGCTTCAAATCGCTTTAAACTATTGTCATTGTAGTGCGTATTTAATGTGGCGCTGCACTCTGATGTTGTAGAAGAAAACATTTATCTAAAAGTATATTTAATTACATAGAACGTGTTGTCTATATTCATTTAATAATAAAGGTTTTTGGGTTAGATCGCGTTATTTATAAATGTGTCGTAACCCTCCACCACCCGACACGACCAATCAGCAAAAAAAGTGTCACGTTGACAAAAGACAAATAGTTCTCCTACAACATCAGAGTGCAGCGCCACATTAAATACGCACTACAATGACAGTAGTTTAAAGCGATTTGAAGCATGTTTATTTTGTTTGCGGGGGGGGGGGAGAGCTTTGTGACGTCATATTTGAGGGGGGGGGCGGGTCTGACTTTTTGTGACGTCGTGTGACGAGGGGGGGGGGGTGGGTAAAAAAATCGTACAAAATCGCGTGACGTCATTTATGGACGGCCCCTTTGTTGCAGGATCATCCGGATCATAAGACGCACCGGGAAAAGAGTGATGCGTCTCTTAACCCCAGACGAATCCAACCCGTTATGGACACTGTGACCACGTGGTCGTTAAAGTTCGAGAAATGTGGCCACAACTACCGAATTGTAGCGAATGATTTGCCGCTGAGTGAGTGAGCAGTGAGTGAGGTCGATGCGCACACCAGTTGTATGTAGTACCTGCACGTCGTTATTGGCACGTAGTTATTAGTCGTTATTGGCACGTAGATATTAGTCGTTATTGGCACGTAGATATTAGTCGTTATTGGCACGTAGATATTAGTCGTTATTGGCACGTAGTTATTAGTCGTTATTGGTACGTCGTTATAAGTACGAAGTAGCCACAGCAGAGCGATTGGGTGGGTGTGTGGGCGAAGTTGTGGATGGGGTGTGTGGGCGAAGTTGTGAGAGGATGGGTGGGGGAAATTGTGGGTGGGTGGGGGAAATTGTGGGTGGGTGGGGGAAATTGTGGGTGGGTGGGGGAAATTGTGAGTGGGTGGGCGAGGTTGTGAGTTGGTGAGCAAAGTTGTGAGTGGGTGGGCGAAGTTGTGGGTGGGTGGGCGAAGTTGTGGGTGGGCGAAGTTGTGGGTGGGCGAAGTTGTGGGTGGGCGAAGTTGTGGGTGGGCGAAGTTGTGGGTGGGCGAAGTTGTAAGTGGGTGGGCAAAGTTGTGAGCGAGTGGGTGAAGTTGTGGGTGGGTGGGTGAAGTTGTGAGTGGGTGGGTGGGCGAAGTCGTGAGTGGGTGGGTGGGCGAAGTCGTGAGTGGGTGGGTGAAGTTGTGGGTGGGTGGCTGAAGTGGGTGGGTGGGTGACGTTGTGGGTGGGTGGGCGGAGTTGTGGGTGGGTGGGCGGAGTATCGTGACGAGTGAAGTTGATTGGTTTCTGTTCAAAAGCAGAGTAGTCGCAATTACTAAATGGATTCATTAATTAAATAACGAACTCGCTTCGTTATTTAATGAACGTTCACGCGCATTTATTTAATTAATTTTATGGTATCTGCTGCTCCCCTGTGTCAAAAGGCACGTGTTAAAATAAATGATAAGCATCTGCTAAATAAAGAAATGAATAATTACTCTTTGGGTCTTTCGGTAAAGTCACGTAGATAGAAAATAATAAAGTATTAAATATAATTGTGATTTTTTTTCTTATTTTCTTATTTTTCTATCAACGCGACTTTACCGAAAGACCCATAGAGTATGAATTCCTGCATTCACGAAAGCTTTAAGTGAAAGTGAATAATTACTGATAACAAAAAAAATTTGACTTTCGTGACCGCAGTAATTAATTTTCTTGTTTCTTTCGGTAAAGTCGCGTAGATAGGAAACAACAACAAAAATAACTCAAAATTTAAATAATCAAATTCAAATAATAAAATAATCAAACAAGAAAAATCATAACAATTAAATTTCGATTTAAAGCTTTCGTGACTGCAATGATTCATCTTCTTTGGTTCTTTCGGTAAAGTCACGTAGAATGAGAATAAAATAATAAATTGATAAAATAAAATAACACAATAATATTCTCACGACGTTTCGGCCACAACACAAGCGACCTTCATCAGGTGAAGGGGCGAGACTGTCTGGTAGGACAGCGCTGGAGTGTTGTCCTACCAGACAATCTCGCCCCTTCACCTGATGAAGGCCGCTTGTGTTGTGGCCGAAACGTCGTGAGAATATTATTGTGTTATTTTATTTTATCAATTTATTATTTTATTATCATTCTACTTGGTGACTTTACCGAAAGAACCAAAAGAAGATGAATCATAACAATTGTCTGTGGGCGGGGCCATCCATCGCGTCGGCATTGCGATTGGACTCGCCTCGCCCGCTCGCCTCTCAGCCCACGTGGTCCCTGAACTGAACTGCAGCTGCTGCTATTTCGTCAGGGCTTGTGGCTGTTGTTGTTGCTGGTGGTGCTGTTGCTGGTGGTGGTGCTGTTGCTGCTGCTGGTGGTGCTGTTGCTGCTGTTGGTGGTGTTGTTGCTGCTGTTGTGTTGTCAGGGTTGTGGCTGGCTTTGTACTGCTGCTGTACTGCTGTTGGTGCTGTTGTTGCTGCTGCTGCTGCCTTGTCAAGAGTCTTGCCTGGGTCTCTCCCGCCGTATCGCTGCTGCTGCTACTGCTGCTGTAGTCGCTGGCTGTCGTCTTCGTTGGCGTCGTCTCTGCCAAAGTAATCGCCGGAAGAGCGACGTAAGGAGGGTGGAAGGGTTGGGTGATGGACGAGTGAGTCGGTCGTGATGGTGGTGGTGGTTTATGTCGCCCCCCTTCCCTGCGTGATGTGCAACTATAGAGCGGACGTCTGTACGGTTACCACCACCATCATCATCATCACTTCATCATAATAATTATATCATAACGATCGTCACATCATCATAACAATCATAGTAACAGTGTTCACATCATAACAATCATCTCTCGGGAATGTTGCTTGCGTGAAGGGCAAATGAAAGGTCGGACATCAACCTACAGTATCATGGTCATTGAACATCGTGGTCATCACCACCTTCACCATCATCACCACCATCACCTTCACTATCACCATCACCTTCACCATCATCACCACCATCACCTTCACCATCACCTTCACTATCATCACCACCATCACCTTCACCATATTCACCTTCACCATCATCACCACCATCACCTTCACTATCACCACCTTCACCATCATCACGACCATCACTATCACCACCATCACCTTCACTATCATCACCACCATCACCATCATCACGACCATCACCTTCACTATCATCACCTTCACCATCAACACACAGCACGGTTGGCTACGTACGGTGCGAAAGAAGTTCAACACACAGCACGGTTGGCTACGTACGGTGCGAAAGAAGTCCAACACACACAGCACGGTTGGCTACGTACGGTGTGAAAGAAGTTCACACAGCACGGTTGGCTACGTACGGTGTGAAAGAAGTCCAACACACAGCACGGTTTACTACCTACGGTGCGAAAGAAGTTCAGCATACATTGTGTTTGCGGATGTTTGTGTACGTCTGCGCGTGCCCGTACATGTGTGTGTGTGTATCACGCTCCGCTGCCGCTGTGTTTGGTGTGTGGGACACGCGTGCGTGTGGGACAGTCACAAGCGTGGCCAATATCTCAACCGGCCCCGGGCTCTCTCCCCTAGGTCGACTCGGATCTTAAAGGAGTGCCTGATGCGGCGTGTGTACAAGGAAAACCGAACAATTTTTTGACCAGCTGAGGCCCATAACCCCCCTCCCCTCCCGAGCTGTTTGCTGTACAGCTCTCTGTTTTTTTGTTTCACATTGCGAGCCGGCCATCGCATAATGACAGCTCAACGATGTTGGGGCTCGTCGAATTTACAGCGGCCAAATACTCGAAAAGCACGAGGTCGATTCTCAACGTGGAGGGGGTTGGGGTGTGGGGGGGGGGGAAGGTTTAAAACCGGGATGACCCGGCGGAACAAATCCACGCGACCACGGGGAGAGAGGGAGAGACACGCGAACTCAGACTCCGGTGTGCGCGTGCGTGCGTGTGCGCGTGCGTGCGTGCGCGCGTCTCTGAACATCAGCGCTGGCGAGACAAATGCGCCCGGGCGTGTGGCTGTGTTGACCAACCCACCGATCGCGTGACCCATGACCCACGTGTGACATCGTCCCCCCCCCCTTTCCCCTTCCGCGTCTCTCCCCACCCCCACGCCAGCATGGGGCTGTTCATGTCGAGAGCCCTGGAGGACAACATGAAGCGGCAGCAGGAGTTCATGCTGCTCAACCAGCGGCTGCAGGTTCCTATCGCTCGCTCCTTGCACCGCCGTCACTCTTCAAAGCAGGCGCCGGTTTTTAGCGGCCGGCGGCTTTCGCGACCGATTTTTAGCGGCAGCGGAGGTGTCTGTTGGGTTCGGATCGCGTGAACGTACCTGCGTCGTTGAAGCCGCCACCACCCGACACGGCCCATCGCTCAGGGTTCGTTCGCGCAAACACAGCGTGCCGATTGGTTTATTTTATTTTTTACTTTTTGCCAGGTGAGGCCCACCGCCGCTGACCTCTGTGTGGCGCCTTTCTCAGAAGTGGGCGGCTTGTCGTCATCGACTTATAGCGGCGGCCAAATACACGTGAACGCGTGGTGACGTAGATTATAAATGTGGAGGGGGGGGGGGAGCGGAAGTGTGTAGCGGTTGGCGCACTGCACTATGGACCCATCAAACCCGAGGACCAATTTCCCACTCGGTCAACATCGCTGGTGGTTATCTGAACCCCCCCCACCACCACCTGGGCTTCCCCCTGGGTGACTCGACATTGGAAAATGGTGGTGCGGTGTGTAAACATCGCCACTGGGGAGACAAAGGCGGCCGGGCGTGGTGCTGACCCCCCCGCGTCATCACGTGCCACAGTGCCGGCCTACATAGGTGCTGCTACTCGCTAACAGCACTTGCCCCAACAGTGTGTTGTGGCTATACACAAACCTGTCAAGCCCTTATCAGTGCCAACCTTCTTACACACCAATTCACACCTTGTTGGTCACCCCGTAACTAACCCCTTATAAATCTGAACGTTCATCCTACAAAGTCCCATCACAAGGAGATAAACACAAACACACAGACAACATTTTTATTGCCCGCATTGAAACGGCTGCAACACGGACCTGAAATCTCCATCTCGCTGTAAAAGATTACGGGGTTTAACCGTGTAGCCTGTGGCAGCTACGGAAAACGGGGAGGGTCCTTTGTATCAGAATTAGAATCCTCATTTGGACTGCAGGAATCCGACGGGCTATGGAGTTCTTGATCGCAACCCCATGGCCACCCGCTGGGTCTGTCCCGTGACCTCCTGCCAGCCAGCCCGCCCGCCCGCCCGCCAGCCAGCGAGAGCCTTCGACACTTCACGCGACAGCGCTCGGGAGTGCACCTAGCCCGGCACGAGCGCCGCAGCGGCGACGACGCCGCCGCCTGTGCGCGTGGTTGCGCTGACGGCGCTCGCCCCAACAGAGTCTGCGGGCCTACCCGCCTAAGTGGGGCGGCGGTGTCTCCCGTCGTCTGTGCCGCAGATGGAGCGTCAGATGGCCATGCAGAGCCAGATGCAGCAGAGGCAGATGGCCATGCAGCTCGCTGGTTCCCGCGAGTTCTTCAAATACTACGCCTCCTTCTACAGCCTGGCCACCGTCACGCTCACCGCGGGGTGGGACACTGGCGGCCTGGTGGTAGCGGTGGTAGCGGTGGTGCTGGTGGTGATTGTGGTGATTGTGGTGGTGCTGGTGGTGATGTTTGATGGTGCTTGTGGTGATGTTTGGTGATGGTTGTGGTGGTGGTGATTGTGCTGATTGTGGTGCTGGGGGTGATTGTGGTGGTGGGGGTGATTGTAGTGGTAGCTGGTGCTGATTGTGGTGGTGCTGGTGGTGATGTTTGCTGGTTGTGGTGGTGTGGGGAGCGGCAGGGCAGCGATTAGCGAACCACGCTAAGATCGTTCGATTGCCTTCTCACAACCAGGAACGGTGGCTGATATCTGAACCGGTCCTGGGCACTTCCCCTAGGTCGACTCGGCCTTAAATGGGGCGTGGTGTTGACCAACCCACTGGCTCGCGTGCCGTGCCGGCCTTCATCATAGGTGCCGCTCGCTAACAGCTCGCGCCCCGAGAGTCCTGTCAAAGGCCACTTGGCGGATCTTTGCCTTTGCATGCCTTTGCATGTAGGCACAAAGACAAAGATCCCCCGTGTAACCTTGACAGGCTGTAGGGGCAAGTGCTGTTAGCGAGCACCTATGAAGGCCGGCACGGCACGCAAGGGGGTGGGTGGCCAGCACCACGCCCGACCGCCTTTTTCTCCCCCAGTGGCGATGTTTACTACGCACCGCACCAGGTGCTCATTTGAGGCTGAGTCGACCTACAGTGAGGGAAAAAAGTGTTTGATCCCCTGCTGATTTTGTACGTTTGCCCACTGACAAAGAAATTATCAGTCTTTAATTATTTGAACAGTGAGATACAGAATAACAACGAAAAAATCCAGAAAAACGCATGTCAAAAATGTTATTAATTTATTTGCATTTTAATTAGGGAAATAAGTATTTGACCCCTCTGCAAAACATGACTTAGTACTTGGTGGCAAAACCCTTGTTGGCAATCACAGAGGTCAGACGTTTGTAGTTGGCCACCAGGTTTGCACACATCTCAGGAGGGATTTTGTCCCACTCCTCTTTGCAGATCTCCAAGTAATTACGGTTTCGAGGCTGACGTTTGGCAACTCGAACCTTCAGCTCCCTCCACAGATTTTCTATGGGATTAAGGTCTGGAGACTGGCTAGGCCACTCCAGGACCTTAATGTGCTTTTTTTTAGCCACTCCTTTGTTGCCTTGGCCGTGTGTTTTGGGTCATTGTCATGCTGGAATACCCATCCACGACCCATTTTCAATGCCCTGGCTGAGGGAAGGAGGTTTTCACCCAAGATTTGACGGTACATGGTCCCGTCCATCGTCCCTTTCATGCGGTGAAGTTGTCCTGTCCCCTTAGCAGAAAAACACCCCCAAAGCATAATGTTTCCACCTCCATGTTTGACGGTGGGGATGGTGTTCTTGGGGTCATAGGCAGCATTCCTCCTCCTCCAATCACGGCGAGTTGAGTTCATGCCAAAGAGCTCCATTCTGGTCTCATCTGACCACAACACTTTCACCCAGTTGTCCTCTGAATCATTCAGATGTTCATTGGCAAACTTCAGACAGGCATGTATATGTGCTTTCTTTAACAGGGGGACCTTGCGGGCGCTGCAGGATTTCAGTCCTTCACGGCGTAGTGTGTTACCAATTGTTTCCTTGGTGACTATGATCCCAGCTGCCTTGAGATCATTGACAAGATCCTCCCGTGTAGTTCTGGGCTGATTCCTCACCGTTCTCATGATCATTGCAACTCTACGAAGTGAGATCTTGCATGGAACCCCAGGCCGAGGGAGATTGACAGTTCTTTTGTGTTTCTTCCATTTGCGAATAATCGCACCAACTGTTGTCACCTTCTCACCAAGCTGCTTGGCAATGGTCTTGTAGCCCATTCCAGCCTTGTGTAGGTCTAATATCTTGTCCCTGACATCCTTGGAGAGCTCTTTGGTCTTGGCCATGGTTGAGAGTTTTGAATCTGATTGATTGATTGCTTCTGTGGACAGGTGTCTTTTATACAGGTAACAAGCTGAGATTAGGAGGACTCCCTTTAAGAGTGTGCTCCTAATCTCAGCTCATTACCTGTATAAAAGACACCTGGGAGCCAGAAATCTTTCTTATTGAGAGGGGGTCAAATACTTATATCCCTCATTAAAATGCAAATCAATTTATAACATTTTTGACATGCGTTTTAATGGATTTTCTTGTTGTTATTCTGTCTCTCACTGTTCAAATAAACCTACCATTAAAATTATAGACTGATGATTTCTTTGTCAGTGGGCAAACGTACAAAATCAGCAGGGGATCAAATACTTTTTTCCCTCACTGTAGATGAGGCCCGGGAACGGTTCAGATAATCGTTACTGGGTGGTGTTGGCCGTGAGCGGGAATCGAACCCGGGTTGCCGGGTTCGTAGCGCAGCGTAGCGCTAATCCTTACACCACCGCTCCCCACATACGCACACACACACAGACACACACACGCACATGCGTGCGTCCTTGCCGTCCTGCCACCAGGTGCGTCAAAATTGCCACTTGAAAGGGGGTGGGTGGTGGGGGGGGGGGTGGGTGGTGGGGGGGGGGGGGCCTCATTAGCTTTGCAACGGGGCCCCCCTCTAAGTGGGGCCGCGGCAGAGAAAATGACATCGTGAGTAATGGGCACCCGGGTTCGTTACGATACACTGGTGCCCTCTGTGTGGCTGTGTCACTTACGGGCCTGTGTGTGTGTGTACGTGTGTGTACATGTGTGTGTACGTGTGTATGTGTGTGTGTGTGTACGTGTGTGTGTATGTGTCTCTGTGCGAGCTGACAGACTTGCACAGAGGCCCATAGACTCACGCAGAGACCCATAGACTCGCACAGAGACCCACAGACTCACAGAGACCCATAGACTCGCACAGAGACCCATAGACTCGCACAGAGACCCATAGACTCGCACAGAGACCCATAGACTCACAGAGACCCATAGACTCACACAGAGACCCATAGACTCGCACATAGACCTATAGACTCGAACAGAGACCCATAGACTCGCACAGAGACCCATAGACTCGCACAGAGGCCCATAGACTCGCACAGAGACCCAGAGATGAGTCTGCGGTGTAACGCTGCGCCGTGCCATTGCAGCGCCATGCGGAGCAAGCGGCCGGGCCTGCTGGTGCCGCTGGTTCCCCTGGGCTTCGTGTTGGCCTACCAGTATGACCGCGCCTACGGGAGCATGCTGCAGCGCATGAGGGGTACGCACACACACGAACACACGGACACAGATACACACAGACATCGACGCACAACAACAACCGCCATTCGCCACTAAGTGGCGGTGACGTCACCACGGCGATTGTGCCAGGCTATGTGCACGTTGAGGCCACGTGAAGTGTCGAACGCCCGTTGGCAGGAGGTGACAGGGCAGACCCAGCAAGTGCCACGGATCGACTGACTGAGATGACTGGCTGATGCACCACCTGTGCCCCCTACTGTGGCAACTTGCTTTGCTTTAGCCACCCGGCACTCCGCTCGTTGTTGTGAGCGTCGCTCCTCTGCCCTCCGTTGTTGCTGGAGGGCGACTGCCTGCAACTGCCCAGTAGCAGCAGCGTCCTTCACGAGCCTTCTCCACAGAGCCCGATCTTGACACCGCTGGTACAAGTCATCGGCAAGTCCACTCAGCTCCTCATCCTCCTTACCACATCACTCCATCTCTTCTCTAGCCTGTGCCGCACCCGTTTAGCCCCCTCCATCCGGCTGAACAAAAGCTGTATAGGCATGCGGTGGCTGGGCATGCAGGCTCCATGACCCATCCAACGCAGCCTTGCCCGCCGGAGGAGCTCACCGATGGGACCTTGCCCAGATCTTTCCGGGATTAGTGAGCTCCTCAGACAATCCAGTCTGGTTAAACCCAAGATGGATCGTAGACAGGCCAGCCTAAATGTTTCTCACCGGCGAAGATGTTGAATTAGGAGGGTCCACGTTCCGCAAGCATAGAGAAGGGAGGGCATGACTGTGGCCGAGAAGACCTGAAGCTTCTTGCGGAACGCAGACCAGGTAGCTTCCACACAGCGTTATGCAACCGATGAAAAGATAATGCCGCTTGACTGATTCGGAGTGAGGTCTCTGCTGTCAAACTGGAGCCGGTCATGAGCACACTGCCCAGGTATGGGAAACTCTCCACTCTCTCCACAACTGCCCCATCACCAATTGTGAGATGTGGGGGTGGAATATCCGATGGTACAAAATACTCAGGCAGGTGCTTAGTTTTGGTGGGGCTGATGGTAAGGCCCCACCTCTTAGTGGAAAGCTCCTCTGTGTGAGCAGCAATTACCAGATCATCGGCATACATAACAAGTCGATGGTCAGTGGGCAGATCAGCTCCACGGTAGGTCCTGGTGTCAAGGACATGGGCTCGCATCCGCTGGTCCGTCACTATGTAGTCCAGCAGATGTTCTTCCTTGGACCCGGCATGCATCCATGATGTTGTGTGAATGCGCCGATGCCGGAACAGTGTGTTGGCAATTACAAGCCCATGGGCTGCACAAAAATCTAGCAGTCTCCTGCCGTTATTAAGCTGATCTGGCCCATGCCTTCCAATCACTCCAGACCAGGTGCCAGCATCATGACCAACTCGGGCATTGAAGTCACCCAACAGGATGACTCTATCCCGAGGGGCCACTTTAGCTAGCACCTGTAACAGGAGGTCATAGAAGGCATCTAACTCATTGGCCTTGCCTGCATCCCTCCACGGATGTTCATCTTCAGTGGGGGAATAAGTAACCACAACCACCACTCGCCTCTGGTTAATGGGAAGGCGAGCCCAAAGTAGCCTGGGGCTTACAGCTTCCCACAACTCACCGCCTCGCTCCCACGCCCCCTTGATTATTTTCTTCAGAAGAAGAGCCACTCGCTGTTGTTTGGCAGTCTCGTGCCCCGAGTAGAGGACTGTCCACCCCTCATGGTGGGAGGAGCCAGAGCCGGTCCACCGGACCTCCTGAATAGCACAGAGATCCAGGCGATGTTTAAACACGACACACAGTTACACAGTTACACACACACATGGACACAGGCACACACAGTCACTGGCGGATTATTGGGGTTTGTTAGTAATAAATCGGCATTTTGCGACCCCCACTGCCACTGTGTAGTATATTATTACGTGCCAGGGACTCTATGAGATGATAGGACAATAGTCTGAGTCCATAATGGGCAATAAGTAACGGCAAAGTGGTTGTAAGTGACTCAGAATTGTGCGCAGTTGCGTATACAGCACACGACTTCCCTGAAGGCATTCACCTTCAGCGAGCACACACGTCGAATAAAAAGCAAGGGACAGGTCCTTACTTACTAACAACTCCTTACTTACTAACAACTCCTTACTAACAACTCCTTACTAACAACTTCTTACTTACTAACAACTCCTTACTAACAACTTCTTACTTACTAACAACTACTTACTAACAACTCCTTACTTACTAACAACTCCTTACTTACTAACAACTCCTTACTTACTAACAACTCCTTACTAACAACTCCTTACTTACTAACAACTCCTTACTAACAACTCCTTACTCATGAACAACTCCTTACTAACAACTCCTTACTTACTAACAACCCCTTACTTACTAACAACTCCTTACTTACTAACAACTCCTTACTCACTAACAACTCCTTACCAACAACTCCTTACTAACAACTCCTTACTAACAACTCCTTACTAACAACTCCTTACTAACAACTCCTTACTCACTAACAACTCCTTGCTTACTGACAACTCCTTACTTACTAACAACTCCTTACTAACAACTCCTTACTCACTAACAACTCCTTACTAACAACTCCTTACTAACAACTCCTTACTTACTAACAACTCCTTACTAACAACTCCTTACTAACAACTCCTTACTAACAACTCCTTACTTGCTAACAACTCCTTACTCACTAACACCTCCTTACTAACAACTCCTTACTTACTAACAACTACTTACTAACAACTCCTTACTAACAACTCCTTACTTACTAACAACTACTTACTAACAACTCCTTGCTTACTAACAACTCCTTACTAACAACTCCTTACTAACAACTCCTTACTAACAACTCCTTACTTACTAACAACTCCTTACTAACAACTCCTTACTTACTAACAACTCCTTACTAACAACTCCTTGCTTACTAACAACTCCTTACTAACAACTCCTTACTAACAACTCCTTACTTACTAACAACTCCTTACTAACAACTCCTTACTTACTAACAACTCCTTACTAACAACTCCTTACTTACTAACAACTCCTTACTAACAACTCCTTACTTACTAACAACTCCTCTATCATTTTGCATTGCTGGAGGGGTTGCCCCCCTACCTGAAAATCCTGGCTCCGCCATTGCACACAGTTACACACACATACGGACACACACATACGGACACACAGATACACACACATACGGACACACACTTACACACACATACGGACACACAGATACACACACATACGGACACACAGATACACACACATACGGACACACAGTTACACACACATACGGACACACAGATACACTCACATACGGACACACAGTTACACACACATACGGACACACAGATACACTCACATACGGACACACAGTTACACACACATACGGACACACAGATACACACACATACGGACACACAGTTACACACACATACGGACACACAGATACACTCACATACGGACACACAGATACACTCACATACGGACACACAGATACACACACATACGGACACACAGTTACACACACATACGGACACACAGATACACACACATACGGACACACAGTTACACACACATACGGACACACAGATACACACACATACGGACACACAGATACACACACATACGGACTCACAGATACACTCACACACGAAGATACACACACACACACACAGGTATGCACACACATAGACACACGGATCCACACACGGCTGCGGACACGCACAGACATACAAAGACAAAGGTCCCCAGTATAGCCTTAACAGACTGTAGGGGCAAGTGCTGTTAGCGAGCACCTATAAAGGCTGGCACGGCACACGCGGGGATGGGTGGCCAGCACCACGCCGGGCCGCCTTTGTCTCCCCAGTGGCGATGTTTACTTACACACCGCACCGGGTACTCATTTGAGGCCGAGTCCACTTAGGGGAGGCCCAGGACCGGTTCAGATAATCGTCACTGGGTGTTGGCCGTGAGCGGAAATCGAACCCGGTTCACCAGGTCCGTAGCGCAGCGTAGCGCTAACCGCTAGCACTACCGCTCCTCCCACCGGTACACATGCACAGACACAGATACAACACACAGACAAAGATCCCCCCCCATATAGCCTTTCACATACTGTTGGGGCAAGAGCTGTTAGCGAGCACCCACGAAGGCAGCACACCAACACAGACGCAGACGCAGGTACGCGCACACACGCACACACACACACGTTGTGGCGATGCTGATTGGCCATGGCGGCTGTGCCCCCCCCCCCCAGACGAAGCCGAGTGGCTCATGGACAAGGACGCCGGACGTCTGCAGCTGCCGCACGGGCTGCCGACCTTCGAGGACGTGGAGAAGTGCCGGCGCGCCAACGCCAAGTTCCCGCCCGCGTCGGGATAAGGCGGCGCCATCGCCATCGCCCGCTCGTTAGGGGGGGGGGGGGTCTGCTCGTGAACGCGCGCGGTGCATTGTGGGTGAAGGCGATCGTCGGGTGCGTCGCGTGTGCCCCCTCTCTTGCGCCCCGCGGGGTGAGCGGGCGAGGGCGAGCGGGCGAGTTACTGAGAGATCGAATCAAGTGGGCGAGCGGGCGAGAGACGGCGGGAGAGTGGGCGAGCGAGCGAGCGAGCGAGTGGGCGGTCTTGAACGGGGAAGCTACCTCGGCGAGTCGCCCATCCATCCCTACTCCGGCAAACGTCGCCAGTGAGTGCTGTGTTTTGATCGAGTCCGTCCCTTAACATTAACGGCAATCGTCACGCGTGGGCCTGTGTGTGTGTGTACGTGTCTCTGTGCGAGCTGGCAGACTTGCACAGAAGCCGATAGACTCACACAGCGACCCATAGACTCACACAGTGACCCATAGACTCACACAGAGACCCATAGACTCACACAGTGACCCATAGACGCACACAGTGACCCATAGACTCATACAGTGACCCATAGACTCACACAGTGACCCATAGACTCACACAGCGACCCATAGACTCACACAGCGACCCATAGACTCACACAGAGACCCATAGACTCACACAGAGACCCATAGACTCACACAGAGACCCATAGGCTCACACAGAGACCCACAGACTCGCACAGGGACCCATAGACTCGCACAGAGACCCATAGACTCACACAGAGATCCATACACTCACACAGAGACCCATAGACTAGCACACAGACCCATAGACTAGCACAGAGACCCATAGACTCACACAGCGACCCATAGACTCACACAGCGACCCATAGACTCACACAGCGACCCATAGACTCACACAGTGACCCATAGACTCACACAGTGCCCCATAGACTCACACAGTGACCCATAGACTCACACAGCGACCCATAGACTCACACAGAGACCCATAGACTCATACAGATCCATAGACTCGTACCTTCCCCGCCTTCTGGCGCCAGCACGCTGGAGGAGTGCTTGGTTGCAGCAGGATCAGCTGTAGCAGCAGCAGCAGGATCGGATGTAACAGCAGCAGCAGGATCAGCTGTAGCAGCAGCAGCAGGATCAGCTGTAGCAACGGCTGTTAGCAGTCGCTGCAGTATCAGCAGTCGCAGTAAATGTAGGATCGTCTGTAGGATGAGCAGCTGTAGCAGCAGCAGGAGCTGTAGGATGAGCAGCTGTAGCAGCAGCAGCTGTAGCAGCAGCAGCTGTAGCAGCAGCAGCAGCAGCTGTAGCAGCAGCAGCAGCAGCAGCTGTAGCAGCAGCAGCTGTAGCAGCAGCAGCTGTAGCAGCAGCAGCAGCAGCAGCAGCTGTAGCAGCAGCAGCTGTAGCAGCAGCAGCTGTAGCAGCAGCAGCTGTAGCAGCAGCTGTAGCAGCAGTAGCAGCTGTAGCAGCAGCAGCTGTAGCAGCAGTAGCAGCTGTAGCAGCAGCAGCTGTAGCAGCAGTAGCAGCTTTAGCAGCAGCTGTAGCAGCAGAAGCTGTAGCAGCAGCTGTAGCAGCTGTAGCAGCAGCTGTAGCAGCAGCAGCAGCTGTAGCAGCAGCTGTAGCAGCAGCTGTAGCAGCAGCAGCAGCAGCTGTAGCAGCAGTAGCAGCTTTAGCTGTAGCAGCAGAAGCTGTAGCAGCAGCAGCAGCAGCAGCTGTAGCAGCAGTAGCAGCTTTAGCTGTAGCAGCAGAAGCTGTAGCAGCAGCAGCAGCCTCTCTCGCGTCCACGCCAGTTGTCTTTCTCCCCGTTGGCCAAACGGCCACCATGTCTAGGACCACAGAGCTCGGGCAAACGGCTGCCTTCCCCAATCGCTCGTCTCTGTTGCTCATCGACCCAGAAAAAGGAGGGGATTTTTGTTGGGCCCCATCCTTTCCAGAGAAAGCGTCGGATTTGAAGTTTAAAAAGTGTGGGGCATGCAGTGCCCCCCCCCCCTCTCCTCCTTCTACCTCTGCCACCGTGAACATCTTGGGGCAACCCCATCCCGTCCATTGCTCAGGTTGTGTCAGCCCCCCCCCCCTCCGCACCCCCCCCCCTGCTTACCCCTCCCCCCTCCGTTTAACCCCCTCTTGCTTACCCCCCCTCCCCTACCCGGGGAAGATGGGGAGGGAGGGAGGGAGTGGTGGCAGCGACCTCCTGACCGCCGTCACGATTGTAAGCGAATCGAGCGTGACACGTCGGTGGGGGTGGGGGTCTGGTGGGGGGGGGGGGGTCTAGTAGGGGGGGGGTGGGGGTCTCGCAGGGGTGGGGGTCTAGTAGGGGGGGGTGGGGGTCTAGTCGGGGGGGGTGGGGGGTCTAGTCGGGGGGGGGGGGGTGATGTCGCGCGTTCTCGTCGTCACAATAAACGCGCCCGAGGGAGCTCCGATCCCGTTGGTTTCCGCGCGTCCTTCCCGGCGTGCGCCCGCGCCGCTACTCGGCACGCCCGCAGTGACTTGCCCTCCGTCGCGCGCAACCGGGTTGCACGGACGTGGCTGTGTGCACGTGGCTGTGGGGGCACGTGGCTGTGTGTGCACGTGGCTGTGGGGGCACGTGGCTGTGCGCGCACGTGGCTGTGGGGGCACGTGGCTGTGGGGGCACGTGGCTGTGTGTGCACGTGGCTGTGTGCACGTGGCTGTGTGTGCACGTGGCTGTGTGCACGTGGCTGTGTGCGCACGTGGCAATGCGCACGTGGCTGTGGGGGCACGTGGCTGTGTGCACGTGGCTGTGTGCACGTGGCTGTGTGCGCACGTGGCAATGCGCACGTGGCTGTGTGTGCACGTGGCTGTGTGCACGTGGCTGTGTGCGCACGTGGCAATGCGCACGTGGCTGTGGGGGCACGTGGCTGTGTGCACGTGGCTGTGTGTGCACGTGGCAATGCGCACGTGGCAATGTGCACGTGGCTGTGTGTGCACGTGGCTGTGTGCACGTGGCTGTGTGCGCACGTGGCTATGCGCACGTGGCTATGTACGCACACGTGTGTGTGTGTGCGTGCGTGAGTGGGGAGCGGTGGTGTAGCGGTTAGCGCTACGCTGCGCTACGAAACTGGCGACCCGGGTTCGATTCCCGCTCACGGCCAACACTCAGTGACGATTGTCTGAGCCGGTCCTGGGCCTCCCCTCGGTAGACTCAGCCTCAAATGAGTACCTGGTGCGATGTGTGAGCATTTCCACTGGGGAGACAAAGGAGGCCGGGCGTGGTGTTGGCCACCCACCCCCTAGTGTGCCGTACCGGCCTTCATAGGTGCTCGGTAACAGCACTTGCCCCTACAGTCTGTTATAGCCACACGGGAGATCGGACTCTGCCCGTTAAATGTCGCGGTTCCCCACCCCGCTACCTCCCCTCCCCAGGTGTCGCACCAACTCTCTAAGCTTGTGTGGAAATGTAAATCACGGCAGCCGAATACTCCAATCACCGTGACGCTGGAGGGGAAAACACCGGAGAAAAATCCACGTGACCACCACACGGAGAGGGAGAGAGACACGCAAACTCCAAATATACAGCAGCAGGCGTCAGGGTCAGGAGTGAACCCACGACCTCCTGCATACCAGGCGAGGTGGTTAACATCTCACCACAGGGAGAGAGAGAGACGCAAACTCCAAATATACAGCAGCAGCAGGCGTCAGGGTCAGAGGTGAACCCACGACCTCCTGTACACCAGGCGAGGTAGTTAACATCTCACCACAGGGAGAGAGAGACACGCAAACTCCAAATATACAGCAGCAGGCGTCAGGGTCAGGAGTGAACCCACGACCTCCTGTACACCAGGCGAGGTAGTTAACATCTCACCACAGGGAGAGAGAGAGACACAAACTCCAAATATACAGCAGCAGCAGGCGTCAGGGTCAGGAGTGAACCGACGACCTCCTGTATACCAGGCGAGGTAGTTAACATCTCAGCACAGGGAGAGAGAGAGAGAGACACGCAAACTCCAAATATACAGCAGCAGCAGGCGTCAGGGTCAGGAGTGAACCCACGACCTCCTGTATACCAGGCGAGGTAGTTAACATCTCACCACAGGGAGAGAGAGAGAGAGACACGCAAACTCCAAATATACAGCAGCAGGCGTCAGGGTCAGGAGTGAACCCACGACCTCCTGTATACCAGGCGAGGTGGTTAACATCTCACCACAGGGAGAGAGAGAGACACGCAAACTCTAAATATACAGCAGCAGCAGGCGTCAGGGTCAGGAGTGAACCCACGACCTTCTGTATACCAGGCGAGTTAGTTAACATCTCACCACAGGGAGAGAGAGACACGCAAACTCCAAATATACAGCAGCAGACGTCAGGGCCAGAGGTGAACCCACGACCTCCTGTACACCAGGCGAGGTAGTTAACATCTCCTAGCCACCGTGATCATGATGGGGCGGGGGTTAAATAGTACGGCGCTCCATCCGCGTGGGGTCGTTAAAGATCCCGCGACGTCAGTCGCAGCTGGCGGGGGGCGCGGGGCTGATCGCCGGTTGTGTGGTAATTTCTTTGGTTGCCCCAACGTGACGATCCCCTCCAGATGTTTACCGAGTTTGAGTGAGAAACACAAGTGGATCGTCTGCGAATCCCTCGATTGGAATCGTGCGGCGCGTATCATTGCACTCCCTCCCCGGCTGTCAGCCTGATCGTTGTTGTTGTGTGGTTGTTGTTGTTGTCATTGCTAGCGAAACGTCACGGCAACTCGGATTGTGAACGCTGTGGGTGGGTTTAACTCTCCAGCACAGCAACCGGTGGAGTGCTGAACTCGTAGCGAATTGGGCCACGTTTTGCGTGCGTGACAAACCCCTCTTGCTAATTAGCTATGTCGGGTGGTGGTGGTAGTGGTGGCGCGTGTAACGACACATTTATGCTCACGCAATGTAACCCAAGAAATATCTATTTTGGTAAAAATAAAACAAGACCTTTATGATGGATAATGTTGGTCGGGCGTTAACCCACAAATGTAGGAAAGGTAAGCTCGTCACAATTTTTGTTGTTGTAATAAATGGACGTTTACTTATTATAATTATATTATTATAATCACTGACCCGGCAGCACCCCCACCACCACCACCGTGTAATGACGAGAATCACCGAGCCGTGTTGATTAAATATTCCACGCTGACCTTTGAGCCCGTGTCTAGCGTGTGGTGAGCCCCATCACCACCACCACGCAAAGACAAAGATCCCCCGTGTAGCCTCTAACGGACTGTTGGGGCAAGTGCTGTTAGCGAGTAGCAACCTATGAAGGCCGGCGCTGTGGCACACGAAGGGGTGGGTGGCCAGCACCACGCCCGACCGCCTTTGTCTCCCCGGTGGCGATGTTTACTACACACCGCACCGAGGTACTCATTTGAGGCTGAGTCGACCGGTTCAGACAATCGTCACCCGGCGTTGCTGGCCGTAAGCAGGAATCGAACTCGGTTCATAGCCGGGTTCATTTGCGCAGCCCGCTAACCGCTGCCACTACCTCTCCCCACCATCACCAATCATCACCATCACCACCAGCAACATCACCACCACCACAAGCACCATCACTGCCATCACCACCACCATCACCACTGCCA